GGACGCGGTCGTATCAGAACCTGTCTTAGCGATCCCGGACGACTCTCGGCCTTTCCGACTTGAAGCAGACAGCTCAGATTATGCGACGGGGCGGTTCTTTCACAACAATCCGCCCCGGACGGGAAGTGGCACCCTGTAGCGTTCTATTCCAAAAGCTTAAATGATGTCCAGTGCAACTACAAGATTCACGACAAGGAGATGCTCGCGATCATCCCGCGCACTCGAGGAGTATCGGCATTTCCTCGAGGGCGCCGCGCATCCGGTTGAGATCTGGACTGACCATAAGAACTTGGAATACTTCCGAAAGGCGCAACACCTTAATCGTCGGCAAGCCCGATGGTCGTTGTACCTTTCCAGGTTTGACTTTACGCTGCACCACGTCCCAGGTCGCCAGATGGGCCATCCCGATGCTCTCTCCCGCCTGGCCTGACCACGGTATCTCCGACGACAACTCGGATGTCACCCTCTTACGCCCGAACTGTTCCACGTTCGCGCTTGAGGCCGTCACTGTCTCTGGGCCTGGCTCCGAACTTGTCCGCGACATCAAGGAAGCGCTATCCGGTGAGCCTGACCTAGAGGAACCCGTCGCACTTGCGGCTCGGCAACTCTTGAAGGTCCGAGGTCAAGCTCGGGGCCCCCGCTCATCGCGTTCGGACGAGTGGGCCGTCTCAGGCGACCTCCTGTACTTCCGCGGCAAGGTTGTAGTCCCCAAAGACAAAGACCTGAGGAGGCGCATTATAGAGCTCTGCCACAACACGTGTGTCGCCGGACATGCCGGGCGGTTCAAGACCCTGGAGTTGGTTTCGCGCAACTACTGGTGGCCACAGATGTCCCGCCATATCGGACGCTACGTCGCGACCTGCGACTTATGCTGTCGTACGAAGGCCCTCCGAAGGCTTCCGCACGGGGAGCTACATCCAACCGAAGTCCCCCGAGCGCTGGCACACCGTCACTGTGGACTTCATCGTCGAGCTCCCGAGGCCCATGGGTATGACGCGGTTATGGTAGTGGTTGACGCCCTCGGGAAACGCTCACTTCACCGAATGCCATACGACAATAGACGCGGTCGGAGCTGCCCGCTTGTACCATCGGAACGTCTGGAGACACCACGGAACCCCCGAGAAGTACATTTCGGACCGCGGTTCGCAGTTCATCGCTGACTTTACGCGCGAACTCTGGCGCTTAATTGGCGTCAAGCCGGCTACCTCTACGGCCTTACCACCCGCAGACCGACGGACAAACCGAACGCGTTAACCAGGAGCTCGAGCAGTACATCCGAATCTTCACCAACTACCAACAAGACGACTGGGACGAGCTTATCCCTGCTGCTGAGTTCGCCTATAACAACCACGTTCACTCCTCCACTCAACAGGTACCCTTTATGACGGACACTGGCCGGCTCCCCCGAATGAGTTTCGAGCCGGGCACCCGCTCAGAGTTGGAGTCAGTGAACGAGTTTCGCGATCGGATAGCGAACGGCATCTCCGAGGCGAAGGCCGCGCTCGTCAAAGCCAAAGACGAGTATAAACGGTACTACGATCGGAGACGATCGGACGCTCCGAATATTCAAGTTGGTGATAAGGTTTGGTTAGATGCCTCTGACATCAGAACAACTCAGCCCTCCGAGAAGTTCTCCCACAAGCGCCTCGGACCGTTTAAGGTGCTCGCAGAGGTTAGTAAAGGTGCCTACAAGCTCGACCTCCCCCCGCGTTACTCCAAGCTCCACCCCATCTTCCCCGTTGTTAAACTCGAGCTCGCTCAGGACGACCCCTTCAATGGACGACCCGGCTACGACGAACCGCCCCCCGAACTAGAGGACGGAGTCCCCGAGTGGGAAGTCGAGGAAATCTTGGATGCCAGGATAAGGTATAAGCGTCTTAACTACTTCGTCAGGTGGAAAGGCTACGATGCTTCGCACGACTCGTGGGTTCGGTTCGACCGTGTCTTCGCGCCAGACAAAATTGCGGACTTCTATCGGAGGTACCCAGGTACCGAACTATGCGTCGGGACGCCGCATTCAAAGGGGGGGGTGATGTCAGGGGAACCCCCGCTTCGGCCTCCTTCGGACCCTCCGAACGCATCCGAGGCGCATCCGACCGGCGCCCCCTCGGACGCTCCGACCCACCCCGACCATCGTCCACGGCCTCCTTCGCCCGCACAATCACCGATCCGTCAAGACCCTCCCAACGATCACCTTGGGACAGAGCCTGCGACGCCGCTCAGGCCTTCTGCGCTCTACGTCGGCAGTTACGGATGACCAGTATATAGTTGGCGCCCTAGCAGGCGGACCCTTAGAGTTTCTTCTCTTTGGATCCTCCCCTGCTAGGTCGGTCCCTCCGTGTATTTCCTGTAGTCTTATTCACGCTTTGGATCCTCCCCTGCTAGGCTTTTGTCGGAGTCTCCAGGGTTGCCCTTACAACAACTTTATATAAGGAGGGATAAGGCCGCAAGCGGCAGGTGCCGAACCTTACATAATAAGCCAGGGAAGACCGTGGCCAGCACCACGTGATATGACGTGGCTCGTCCCAAAAGGGTTATAGAAATGCACAGCCATTCCCGATATGGGGGGGCTGGTTTCAACATGATTCTATAGAGCCAAACCTTAGGTTCGGCAATAATATCTGAAAAACTGGATATGGTCCAAAGCCGACTCAAAAACGGGATTGCCCAGAGTTGTTTTCATTCACATTTTCCACATTCATCAGATCTCGATGTCTAGAAGATGTGTCAGTGTGAGATTGAACACCAGTATGAAGTCAAAGAGTGCGTACTTGGCGATGAGATGACTTGCCACCCCTTCAGGCACCATTGAGGCTTCTTTGTGCATTTGACTACCGGACAGCTGGTTAATGTGTGGTGTCTGGGGGACTCAGTAAGGATGATTTCAAGGCGAAAATGCCAACCGTTGATGAATGTGCGCAATGAAGCCCTTGACAGGAACAAGTTGCTTGCAATTTGGGACAGCACACACTAAGTGTTCGCGGTGCTGGAGGTTGATCTCTTCAAGCACAGATACACGGTACTGGATCCAGACTGTAATCGGGTCAGTGACGGTTTATACCATGGAGTCCTATATAACACCTTTGAATGTGATCAGCATTGAGCCGCGATCGAATACAGCTAAATTTTTTTGCATGGTAGGGGAAGAAACGACATTGCTAGTCCTTCTGCAATCAACATTCGCAAAACATTCTACCCTACAGAATCCGAGATGAGACGAACAAGGAAAGAAGCCTACGATACCGTTGACGATTGAGCATCTTGACTGTACTAGTATGAACCTGAGTGCGGTAGTCTGTCTCCCAAAGGGATAGCTCAATGGCATTCTGACAATGGTTAAGGGAGCATGCTACCGATTATGAACAAAAAATCCTTTCGAAGGATTGGCTGGTCTGTCTTCCGTTTTTCATACTCCAGTAATAGCTCGCTGAGATTCCGACGACAGATTGTTGATGTGCCTTGGCGATTGCATCCATTTGAGACGGCTACTGCTTGTTGGGGCTCGAGTTGTGCCTGTTTGACATCCTTTTTGAAGTAAATTGAGTGGCCGGAAGATTCATCTTGCATCCTGGGAAGCCAGAGACCAAAAGATTCAAGCGAGTCCGTCGTGGAAAGAAAGAGGTTGCGGCTACTGTAATTCATTAGTCTATTGCTACTCTGTTTGCGATCAATGCAGCTCACGAGGTCAAGGATTTCAAACAACCTCGTGAAGAGGTTAGAATCCATGTAGCAGTCTTTCCCAATCGTGCTTGCCGAGCAAAATCGAAGCCTGAATTTACAGACTGGCGGACGATTAGTGAGCTGTGAACAGGTCTGTCACAACAGTGAGAAGTCAAGAATGTGAATAAGGGGGGAGGAACTAACAGCACATCGCCCTTGCCCAAATATCCAGTTGATGTAGGCAGCATTGGTGAAATTTCCGCTGGCTTGCACAACGGGACATTCCGGAAACGGCACAGAGGTCCTTCGGGAAAGATTTCGGTGGGCAGCGGTCCAAATTGTTTGACGGTGGTTTTGAATGAAGTCACGACTCGGAAGAGAACGACACGTATCTTGAAGCTGAAGAAGGTCAAATGGGCTACACAAGGGTCTGGAATCGGATTGAGCCATGGGGTGGTATAAAGAGAGAACTGGCCTCTAAGAAAAGTTCGACTGGAATGTTGTCTGGAGGGGACGGTGTAAAAGCTGTGGGAATTGTTGCCCATGGTCGTTCAACGCTAGTTTATATGAGAGGTGGCGCAAAAGAACTTGAAATTCGGGGGGAACGTGGTTCTAATACAGAGTGAGAAGGAACAAGCTTGCCGCTTGCGCAATGAATTTCGACACCGTGACAGAGTAAAAGCAAAATGAACATGTGATCATGGGCTAAAACTCAGGCTTTTACTCGACAACCACCATTGACGGGTCCCCACCGACTCTGCCCTTCTTCGTGCGTGCGCTCTTGAGTCTTGGATAGCTTTCACTGGAGTCCAGGGCTCATAATTTATGTGTATCCAGGTTTAATCCTTCGGCAACTCGATCCTGGGTCCATCGTGTCGCCTGCACGTCTCAAAAGACGTTGGTGCAGATCTGAGTCTTGTCGATTCAAAGCGTCCTTCACCATCCTCATATTTTATCTCCTCCCAAACCTCTCCCTTCCAAATCTGCCTTTCCTGGTAGCCGTTCTTGTGGCTTGAGCTATCTCAAAAACTCACGGTGCGTGAACCTTTTATGACGAAACTTACCGTTCGATCCATCTCGTAGTCGTATTCGCTGGTGTTATGGCCATGACCAAATTGCGGAAGAGATTTTTTTTGTCAGTGGGTCGCTCCGGTTCCATTGATCCAGTGCCTCGATTTCTTCAGACAGTGCACATGTGGGATCAAAATCTCATCCAAACCTGACTAGTCGTGACATTGGCCATTGATCCTAACAGCCGTTTGATTCTCGAACGATGTACGACGATGTTACACTGAAAGGTGGTCACATATCTCCACGCACAGTCTACCACTACCACTATTATGAACAACCTTGACATTTCTGCTCTTCTTGCCGATGGTCAAGACGCCCAGCGCGTCGCTCGCACTGCGCTCGCTCTGGATGTTCTCTCCGACTCCGTCGAGGCTCGCCAATATCTCGAAGAATGGACGCCTTTTCTGACAAAGTTGACCAACAACAACCGGAAACTCGCTGGTGAGTAGCATTGATTCCTCCTCTTTCACATTGTTAACGACGCTGTCCTAGCTGCATTAGCAGCCCTTGAAGCTGCCGGAATTGCCAAGCGAGACGCAAACTCTTCCAATGGTTCGTTGGTGTATTGGATATATCGCCATTGCTCAGCTTTGCTCAGACGCCGACGGTACAGAAGAGACCTCGCCCGCAACCGATGATCCTGGTTTGTTGAGGAAGCAATGTTCGTCATTCAAGTTGTAATTTCTCTGCTTATCTGATGCAACTCCCAGCGCTTCGTTCCGCAACGCATTCTGGGAGAAGGGTTGGATATTGAGACGATTGTGCTATCCACATTTGTTGTAAATTTGAGTGTGATCTCATCAAACATTCTTGTTTCCTGCCACCACAAACTACGTTTCAATCCGTTCCATCTACACCGTGACTACCCGCTCGCGTATACTATGTTCAAAGCCTTGGCACAGTCCGTCCTCCCAACGAAGCGTTCTCGCCCCGATGACGACAACAACGAGTCGGAGCTTTTCTTGCCCGCCAAGAAGCTCAAGCTAGAATCGTCTCAGCCGGCAACTTCCGCAACCCCGCCATCCATGACCGTGGTCCTCAACGACATTACCGCACCGTGTATCATCACTGAGTCTGTCCGGCTCAATAAAGAGGCTCTCGCCGCGGTCCGCCTAATCGAGGATATTGGGAAGCGTCAAGCCGAACTCAAGGAAGCAGCGGGAGTCCATCATCGTTCAGCCATATTGCGAACTACAGACGAAGAACGGCAGGCTAGGATGCTCAAACGTGATGTGGCTGCTGCATTGGAGGAGGAGGCGAGGCTTAAGCGTTTGTTGAAGGAACATCTGGGACCAAGCTTTCGTGGATTTATTTCGTCTCTTGAGTTGGACGACACGCGACGCCGCCCCAAAGCCCCCAGATCGCTCAAGCATGCTTCGTTGGACAAGGTCAAAGGTGCCATTTCCGGGCCCATCATCAATACGACTGGCTTGGAGGCAACAGTTCACAGCGGGCGGGTACTATCGGATGATTGAATGAAGAAGATTATGCACGCCCTACAGAACGCCATTCTTTTGTTTCACTACGGACTGGAATACACTCTAGCACTACATGACCATCAATTTCTTCATCGTGACAACTACTGGCGTCTCTTGGTTGGCGCACGACGCCGTAAGCCCAGAGCCCAACGTCAAGGGGGACGCCTTCCTCTGGGAACTGCTTACCTGACCGTAACGACTGTGACCTAGGACAAAGAACTTGAATAGTCATCCCACCGCGACGGTCGCTAAATGCAAGGTATCACGGCTCCCCACATTCTCAATATACGCATGCGATAGCCAGTCAGGACAGTAATCCTTGCACTTCCGACCGTCCGTGGGCCCTCCTACTCTGGATACACCGGCTTTATTTGGTCGACGAGGGGATTCAAAGCCAATGACCCAGTCATCTGCCGTTTGACGAGTCAAACGACGAACAGAGCTGGAACCAAAAGGCCATAGCACCGCGTTCGTAATCGAATATAGTACCCCGGCCCACCATTGTAGGAGATGGGCTTCACCCCGTGCTTTGGAAGCTATTTAACGGAATGGTGGGGTGTTAACTGAAACACAGATGCTTCCCGAAATATGGAAGCCAAGGAGGATGTTTCGTGTTTCGTTGTTTCCAAATTACCGAATGAGCCCAAGCGCTTCCACTGGTTTCCCGTCGAGATCATGCATTACGCCCTTGTAGTATCCTCAAGTAGTAAAGCTTTAGAAAGTGCAGATCCGTCGAGATGTAGATCTTTTATTTCAAAGTTCTCTAAAACACACAAAATGACCTGCCTTCCCAGGCCGACTGAAGACCAAGCTCCTTTCAAGGGCGGCTGCATCGCTGCAGCCGAAACATTTCCTTCGTTCCACTGTCTCAAGAGTCACATACAAATAAGCACCGCCGCGGGGTCCAGATCTTTCGTATTCTCCTTGATCTCTTATCATGAACCTCTTGAAGTGATTCGATTCTTCGCTTCCGAGTCGTTCGTCTTCACGATAGCCAGAACTGATCCACTCACTAGGCCTCCACCAATAACCATTTCTCCTCGTTTGAGATCGGCAATCGTGACAGCTAGGCCAACATCCATCGACTGCTCTATCCCCCACGGTAAAAACGAGCCATCATAGACTACGAACCGGAGAGCCTCGGCGGCTGTTGAAGGGTGGCTTGCCCCAGCTTGCGGACATTTGCTGCGTTCAGATCCCTCGTTGGCAGAACCTCCACCAACACCGGTCGACCTTGGTCATCAGGCTGTTGGCAGAGGCTATGCTGGGTTTGGACGCAGTGATTATTGGAATGCTGAGCTCGCAGTGAGATTATTTTTCGACAGTTCGCGTACGAAGGTGGCAACTGGGTCCGATCCCCAGTTGTTGCGGGCGGGATGCCTATGTTTGCTCCTAAGATTTCGTTGGTTGAGGGTCGCGTTAACGAGCTCTCGCAGCTTGTTGTATTCAGCGCAAGCTTCATTTTTTGAAGTGATCCTGAGATGCTACCTGGATATGATGGTAACTTTGTTCGTCAGTGGGCGTGGTATGCCGCATGTTCGCTCTAGGCTCGAACCCTCCCCACCAACTTCGATTTCGTCGAGCATACTGCGTAAGCTTTGGGTTACAGTCCTTTCCTTTCCTTTCGTGACCGTGTTTGATCATTCGATAGATGGATTTATAACTTCTTTGGAATCGACCGCTGCGATAGCCAGGCGAAGATATACCTACCCCTGCCGCCGAACGAGCGATTTGCACTACAATCGGAGAGCCTCGACGGATGTTTAGCGGGCGGATTGCTCCGTTTTGAGCGACGGTAACGTCCGAGGGGTTGTCCGTCAGACAACTCAACGGACGGTACCGAAACTTGAGCGGCCCGAGACCGTCTTGCTGTCGTTCGTTCACGAAGGTGTCGGCTGGGTCCAATCCCCAGTTTGGCGATGGCGATCAGCTCTATGCATGCTCCACAGTTGGTCAAGGGAGGCGCTAATGAGCTCTATTGAGCTTGTTGTCTTGACGCCAGTTTGCCTCGCGCAAATTTACCCCATGACGCCGTCCGGTGTAAATCGTAACTTTGTTTAACGGTGGCATGGTCGGGTCGATTCTCGCTCTGGTCTTGAGCCCCGCAGACAGATCTCGTTCAACGTAGAGTTTTGGAACCAAATGCTATTGTTGTAACCATCAGACATTCGTGTGAGATAGCGTGAAGCTCTGAGTTCCTTATCGTCCTTCAAGTCCAAATTTGCCAGTTTGCACCACAATTTGTCAACGTTTCAAACGGAACATGACTAGCGGCAGTCCGAATAGGTAGACAGCTGATTTGAATGAGGTGGACGAAAGTAAGGTTGTGCTATGGCAAGTAAAGAGTTGAACAAAGCAGCGAAGTTGGAGTTGGCTTGAACGATAGTCGCGTGGAGTCTTGAATAGCAGGTATACGGTTGCGCATGGATAACGAAACAGGCATAGAGAGGTTTATGGGAAGGAAGCTGGGAGTTTATGAGTGAGAGGGGCAAAAACGCACTTTCAGATCGGTAAATCACCACAATACTTTGAGACAGTAATATCCACAAATCTGGGTGAGAATCGAGCTTGCTGCTGTCGTTGACTTGGAAGGCAGAGGAACTACTGGCAGTGTCGAAGCAAATGAAATCGTTGGTGACGGTTGTCAGCACATTTTGTCACATCCACTGGCAAGCACCAAGAACCCTTCGCTCCAGCCTGATCCGCCTCTCTAACTACTACTTACGCTCGTGTGCGACCAAGCCATTTACGATGTTTTTGAAGCGCGTTTATGCACGTCATGGCCAGTATTTACCTTCGGAAGTACCTGGTCCGGGCGGATTCTAGCTCGATCTTATCTTCGAGGACCTTGTGCCTCATTTGGCGGAAAACTCTAGAGTCTATGGTTTACTACCAATGTGGTTCAAGCTGTATGTGGAACCTTCGTCCCAGTCGTTTTTTAACCATCTTCCAACAGGCGGGCCATACTCTTTTCCAAGTACTGTACTAGTCTCATGTCTGACGCGGGCTCGTGGGCCTGGACAACACGTCTCGAGTTCTCTCATGGTGGTAGCACATGGATTCACTCTAGATGTGCTTCTTGTACGCAATTTCCCCTACACCAATCGCCTCTTCTTCGACCGCCCTAACCTTGATAAATAACGCGCAACGGCACCTGGTCTTACAAGTCAGCTCGCCTGTACTTGTCATGCAACTCGGACTTCTGATTGTCTCCTGCATTGCCGCCGCCTCGGCGGCGTCGACCCCAAACCCTCCCAGAGCCCAGGTTATCTTGTCTTGCACTGTTCCTGGAACTGTTGCCCTCACATTTGTTCGTCAATATACCTTCGTTATCCTTCCAGCTCATGGAAACCACTGCAGGATGACGGCCCTTACTTATACCAAGATGATATCAGCCAGATGCTCCTGAGCAAAGGCGCGAAAGGCACTTTTTTCGTCAGTGAGTCGCTCCGCATCTTGCAAAATTCCGCGCCATAAATTTCTCCTAGATGGTTACAATTGTTAGCGTCCCATGTGTCTCCTACTTTGGCTCAATTCATCTAGACGAGTGCATATATGGGACCAAAGTCGCCGCTCGATTGACGAGGACATATCAAGCCGGTCACCAAATCGCATCTCATACCTGGTCGCATCCTGACCTGACCGCCCTCAAGGCTGATGAGAGTACGCTGCCCATTCTTCCTGCTTTTCGATAATGAATCTCATCAGTCACCAACGAGTTCAACAAGACGGACAGTCAGTGCAATGACTATTCATCTACAAATCCAGTCTCACTTCCATCTCAGTTGCATTGGCCAAAATCCTGGGGATCACCAGTCCTTACCTCAGACCACGTTCGTGTTTATATGTCTCCTGGTCGCTTTTTTGTGACAAGAGTTGCAGCATATGGGAACTACAACAAGCTCGTCCGTCAGATTGCGTACCAATTCAACAAAACGCTGATTCTCTGGGATATGGAGTGCGTTTTCTCTCTTCATTCGTCAGGCCGTTGGTGACATGCATTAGCACTGAAGATTCTATTGGTGCTACCGTTGAACAGAGCCTCCAATATTACGACCAGTATATTGCCAACAACTCTGTCACCATTCCGCTGCAGCATGAGACTGAGAGTGCGTCTATTCTCCCTACTCGATGGTGGTTCTGATGATATGCAAGAAACCACCGCGTATGCTTCCTCTTTTTCTCCATTGTGCACAACATAAACGCGATTCTTAGTTATCAAGTGTTGCCCGCAGCTATCGATAAACTCCAGGCAGCTGGTCTCCGTCTTGTGACGCTTGCAGAGTGTCTGAACCAAACGATGTATACGTCGGAATTGGGACCCGGGACTCGAGACGTGAGTTTATTTGTTGACCTGGGACGTTAACTGAATCGGACCAGTCGAGTTGGTTCTGTCCAGAGGAGCGGAGCTCTTCAGTTGAAATTTAAAATTAACCACGATGCATTCAACTTGAAGCTTGAAGCGCCACATCGACGAAAAGTAAGAGGTGGTGACTGAAGAGAAAATCGTCATAGTTTTTGTAGCGGATATGTAGTGACCAAAAATGTCAGAAAAATAAAATATCAATTCTCCCTGTATATTACCGACCCTCTAGACTTCTTTTTTGATACAATATCGAGTAAAATGGTCATTTTTTTAGATTCGGTATTATTTATCAAAACAAAGATACGATGATGGTACACATAGGAACAAGATCGACGGAGGATTTTGGATACGCTAACCCAAAGTCGGGTCAACAAGCTGCATTTCACTTCCATTTGTGGCACCATTACTATCAGCCGCCGCTGCAACGTTATCGCACCTGCGATCTGGTCGACGAGAATTGCGTCCCCGACAGTCCATCTTGCCACAGTCCATACACGGGTTCGGACAGAAATGACGACCGCCTTTTCCCTTACAAGTCTGGGATCCACATTTGCAGCAATGGCGCGGGGCGCGTGGTTTTGGAGATGCTGAATCTGACATGGGAGAGCCGCCAGGTGGTCTGACCGAGAGGAGAGGAGAGCCTGGAGTAGAGCCAAAGTTCATTGTATGGGCGTGAGGCGGGGGGTATTGGATGGGGATGACCCGAATCATCGAATGGATAAGGTCGTTTGCGTTGGTGTTGGGCAGGGTCATATGGTACCATTCCTTGGTAGAAAGGCAGGGCAGTCACTGGTCGAAATTGAGTCGGAGGAAGACCGTTTATGGGAGGTGGTGGGATGGCTGAGCTGCCGGCGACGACAGAGTTAGCTGTCCATGCATCGTGATATGCTTGTGTGGCTGGCGATGCGGCTGGTGGGAGTTGTTGGGGTTGCTGCGGTAGAGTGGTCGCTGTCGTGGGCGACTCCGCTGCTGTTTCGCCGAACGCGTCTTCTTCTGGCTCCACTTCTGGCTCTTCATCTTCATCTTCCTTTTTGGGTGGCGGCGCAACAACGGAAGAAATGAGGGGCTTTGGTATATCCTGCACCCCATGCTGGACGGTACGAACGAGCTGTAAGATTATGTCCTTTGAAAGCCCCGATTTAAGGCCACCCATCACGAGATTCCACAAAGCCCTCGAAACCCCCCGCGCCTGCCAACTCCACACATCGGCTCCAACACCAAGATCGCCAGCCATTAGACGAGCGGGAAACTCGCGTTCAAGTAGCTCTGGTAGAGCGGCGCGGACAGAAGAGTCGGTGCTGGCAAAAGCATGACCAGCTGGCTCACAAACATAGCTGCAGCCAATCACGAAGAATGGGCCACTAAGATCGTGGATCGTGAGCGGTCCCGAGCGAATGCGACCTCGTTGGACAAGTGGTGCGGAACATGTCGGGCAGGGGATGCCATTGAAAACAAGTGGAAGTGGGTCCCAATAGAGGAAACGATGTGAAGATGGTACCCGGGCACCGCCAGTCCCAGCTGATGCGGTAAGCGAGAAGTAAGCGGGGGAAGAGGGGAGCCAGAAGGTTTTCAGTATGGAGTAGAGAGACGGAATGGGTTGGGCAGTTGACGCGCTTGTCGACGGTTGTTGGCTCGGCTGCTGCGATAGCGAGACCAAGTGGGATTTGAACGCATCTTCAAGCGATGGGCCTGCATTCGATGGAGGATTCGGGATGTCCAACGTTGTTAACAACACGTGCAAGAAATCGTCTGGTCTTGACGCAGCCATCTCTATCCACTCCCCCCGCTCTTTCCGTGGCCTTCCTACGGGTCTCTTGGGGGCATCTGGGTCGCGTGGTGGTCGAGGGGCCGTTGGTCGTTTATCTTTGTCGATAACGCCGGCAGCTTCCAACGCAAGCGTTGACTTGTTCTTCGAACCTTTTGGTCTTCCGCGTTTACGAGGTGTTGGCGTTTGGGGCTCTTCTGTCGTTGTTGTAACGGGTGGAATGACACCATTGGGAGGCTGGGGGTCCGCAGGCGTCGGGAGGACGACGGGATAAGGAGGCGCTTCTGCCGCCATATCTCAGATAACTGCAAAGAACATCATCATGCTTGTCCAGAATTGAGAAAAAAAACTTGCAATGTCCGGTTAACCAGGTAGTTATCGCTGAAGGTAAGTGCGAAAGATGGGGTTTGACACTTATCTTCAAATTTTCCTGCTCACAGCATTTTGCCTGTTTTAGAGGTAATAGTGCCATATTGGGTAATTGTCATCAGAAGGTCAACTCATTTTCACTCCAAATCATCCTGATTCCTACCATAGCAGGTTGTCAACCTCCGGATGTCAAGAGCGTCCTGCGCAAGTCCTGCGTCGTCAATTCCTTGCCAATGAACGCTTGTTTCTCTCCGGCGGCTATAATAATCGGAATGTCATTTGCGTTGAAAATATTCTCGCACACAATCGTCAAAACCGTGCTTAAGTATTACGCTTGTAATTGACTCAGTCACTCGGGAGATTCAAAAGCGACACGGAACGACCTCGCTCTCAACGGTCTGGCCTCGATGTAACCGCCCTCCAAGTGACTGAAGGCCGCCGCGAAGCAATGAAGTAGCAATAACTTGAAGCAGCGGCGAACTTGCTCTTGACTTGCAACAGATGAACACGAAGTTGCGTACAGAACATCGTCTCTGATACGCCCTCGGACCTCCACCTATCTCGCTTCTCTATCGCGACAGAGATGCCTGAAGAGCAAGTACTTCTACACAGCTGAATTTGTCTCATGACTTGTGCCCATCTTGAACTGTTCAGTGGTGACTTCGCTTGTGGACCAGGTCCCCATATCATCTTCCCATTATGCATATGAACGCTTGATTTCGGTCAAGTTTCTTTCTTCTTGACGCTTCCGTCGATCACCATGAGCTGGTGCTATTGTCTTCAGAGAGAACCTTTCTGACAGAACACCCTTATCGCTCCACTGGCCTGCTCATCGACGAGGGAATAGTCCAGGGCACTTGCGGAGTTGCCGTTGGGATTCACGGCTGAAGAATGCGGAATCCGCTACCAATCCATGCTACAAACCTTAAATATTCAACCTTCTGGTGTGGCGTATGTCCTCATGCAGGTCGGTTACACGGCTGCGAGGCCTCCCAAGGCCCAAAATTAATCCTATCAACCTTCGAACGATCGGAAATTCGTCTATTGACTGCATATTGGACCACCGATTAAATCAGCGGGTACTCGCGGACAATCTCATAACCAGCTCCAACCTCTACCCAAGCACAACATTTTATCGACGGAACATTGATTAAGTTGGTGAGGGAAGGGAAAAATGGGCGACCCTTGAGTGAGGGGTGCGAATTTTTTTTGTATTCTACGCAGTTCCAAGGTTCCACAAAATTAACCACTAGCAAAATGAGAAACGAAGCACATGCTACTGACATGTTTGTGGGAGTTTTTTTTCTCTCTCTACGCGCATTTAAGTATGATTGCGCGGCTTTTCCGCCGCGGCACGGTGTGACGGATCACATGCCTGCGAGGGCGTGACGTTTTGAGTCTTTTCTCTTTCCGACCTTGCACCGAAGTCTACGAGCACAAGGATACACAAGCGCCGAGAGGACTATTTTCTCAAAACCCGGAATACTTAACGCCTGCCTCCACCTATGGCAACTGACACGAAATCAGGGTTGTTCAAGTTGACAGAATCAAGAAGCTTCAAGCTTTTCCCAGTCCCACCTAGGTGGAGACCGGCGCCCATAGCACCCACAGGATACTCCCTTTATCGATATGATCGCGAAGCAGCACTTACCTCGAACCTGTAGAACGTAGACCGAGTCCCCGTCGGACGGCGATAAAATTAAGGTCTATTCCTCTGAAAGGCAACTCGAATGAACAGCTGCTGGGAATATCAGCAATAATAACTCTTCGGCCCTGCTCACTTTGACTCTTCACTCCCTTGGCTTCCGAACCCCGCCGACAGCGAGCATAGAATATCCATTGGTACACCACACCACCAGCCCGCCGTTATTTTCAAGGTGTGTGGGGCGAACGAGAAATGACGCACTAATTCGTTTTGTTCAAAGAATACATCGTCGAAACTAAGCACTTGCCAAGGCCTATAACTGGTCTATATGTCACTTCTCGCCCCAGCAAGGTATTATTATATCGCCGTCCTCCCCAATATTATACCAACCTTCAAATTCACAGACCATCTCCGCACGCTTCATCCATGCCGATCTATGAAAGACCGCCCCACGACCGGAATCTCCGTGTGTCTTCCTGTTGAATGCTGCAGGTATTTCGACGCTGTTGTAACTAGCTGCATCAGCTTCTTCGAAAACTTAAAGGATCAGGGCAAACAACTACCTGCCTAATTGGCTGAGTTCTTGGCTGCTTCTCCATGATGTGCCTTCTGGTACGTCAATTGCCTGTGCCACTAACGAATGTTGCTAATATTTGTGAACAGTATATCCAGCCCACAAACATACCAAGTGGATAGAATAGGATTTAGCTCTCTGACAGTTGTCTCAAAGACGGGATCTGTCGAGTGCATTGGCCACGCGATTATCTGGACAGCTAAGGCACCATTCTGAAGAGCGTCCAAGTCTACGTTCACGCATGGACACACAACCGCTCGCGCTCTGCGACGTCAAGGCCCTTTTCTACAAGAACACCGTCATTCAAAGATTTCATGCGAACCAACAGCCTCCGAAAGCGGTCAAGAGATCTTGAGATCACTCGCGTATCGGCAAAAACATTTATGACAGCGGTGGTTTGCCAATGGCTCGACGAGTTCCATTTACCATCCTGTTGTTTCGCACGTCAACCAACGCAAACACTCTATAAAATTGACATACGGCCAGGCTAGATGACTTGCGGAACCGGGTTCACTCATTCTTTGCGATATCGTCTTCAACTAGTTTGAATCCGCCATGCCCTGCTCCCGACCAACTGGCACTGGTCGGACGCGTCGCTATCGCCAGCAGCCCCAGCCACATATCTGCCCTTTGTGCAAGAAGCATTTTTCGACTGGCGGCCATCTCAAGCGACACGTTCAGATCCATTCTGGCCAGCGCAACTTTCCATGCACCATTCCTGGGTGCGAGACGCGTTGTTCTAGAGCGGATAATCTACAGCAGCAGTACGCACTCTATTGCCTCGATTTAATGTTTTTATTGACGCTTTACGCCAGTATAAAAACGCATTCTCCGTCTTATGTTCCACGCAAGGCGCCAAAGGGTGCGCCAAAGAGGGTTCGAAATCGAGGCAAGGCGGTTAAACGGGGATGCGATCGCTAGCGCTCCAGACTTGGCTTTCGGTTTTTCCAGTGCATCCTCTTCGTCCTCGACACGCGACTCCCCACGGCCATCCACTTGGTCGTCTTACTCGCAGTCGTCTGCCGAGTACTCCCCACCGCCAACTACTCCACCTTCGTTTACTTTTCCCTCCTCGATGCCAACTCGTCCCGTAGTCCAGGTACCGGAAATACCCGGCTTTCCGCTCCTTCCGCTTGAACCTGTGGAGTTGTTCAGACCCAAATTGTTGCTGGTCGAAAACAGCAATATTACCACGCAAATGCAACCATCCTCGGCCGTCGAGACTTTCCTATCAGCGACATTCCCTCCCTATCCTCACCTCGAACTTGTACATCCAATTCCTCGAGCATCCCAGCCACGTTCTACCCTGTTGGACCTGGAGGACTCCGTACAATATGAGTCCGTTCAGACTCCGGCAACCGATCCAAACTTGGAGCCAGATTTCAACGCTTTTCAAGACTTGCTCGCATACCCTACTTTTTTAGCCTCCGAATCGTCTTTGGCAGGCAATCTGGAGGCTATGTTGGTGGACCACGGCTGGCCGCACCAGTTTCCGATGGTCGACCTTGCTAATACCTCCTACCCGCGACACCCGGGGACGAACGGGAACGAGATGTACCAGGATTTCCTCGGATAAACCCTTTTCTTCTTCAACTTGGCATATACACAACTTCATTCATACAAAAGTCATCAACCATCGCTGCATTCTACGTTATCGCTCACTTAGCCTAATCTACATATCTATCTTTGCTTTATTGTGCATGTAAAATACTGCATACGGTCTAGTCCCACCTTCCCCTCCCATTGCTACAAGGACTTGGTGTCGCCGAATTCATCATGCTGGTTCGGTCGAATTCTCAGATACGGATAAACCGATGTAAGATTCGCAGGTAGGTGAACGTGAACCTAGCTCTAGTCACCGTTCGCCTATAAACTGGAGTGATCTGATACCCTCGCAGCAACACTACCTCTCAGTTATTCCCAGTCACATAACGCTCATCGCTCACCCTTCCCCTTGCCTTCCTCTGTTGCGGCCAGGGCTTTGTCTAGTTGCCTCTCTCTATAGCCAAGCAGTGCTTTGAGGGAGTTCCACACTGATGTAAACAGGGTTTCAGGTGAAAGCGAATGCCGTCTCGAAATTGTGGCAAGCGGAGCTTGAAGAGCGTTGGCCCCAACTACCCCATAGACATCGTCCCTCTTCTGGATTTCGAGCGGAATTTGCTCTCGAACACCTCTGAGATAGAATGAGCTCTATCAGGCACCGAAAATTGTCAGTTTTGAAATACGCACTCAACGCGGGCTTGGTCTACGTCCACCAGCATGAACTGCGGAGGAAGCGGTTTGCTTGAGTCATCTACATCGTCGATTGATGGTAACCTTCCGAGAGGGGTGCCCCAAGGATCGAAGGCTAATGCCTCGCCCCAAGAAGAACGGTTTGGATTATGAGCGCCTGCCTGTGCGGCAGCAACAACATACACTTGATAGCTGATTGCAATAGAGCGGACGAGAGCCGCCCAATGAGCACGGCCCGTGGGAACCGTGAAGGCGGACGGAATGGCGATAATGTCAGCGCCCTTGCGCCGCAGTATAATGTGTAGTTCGGGGAATCTGAATGGCTTTTAGTGCAGGGCAACGAGAATCGACTGCGACGGACCGAATGTCGTAGCATATTTCCAAGCCTAGCTTGCCAATACTCCCAAGCGACACGGGTTCCGCAATAGTGTCTCCAGGGATGATTTTGAGATGTTCGCCAGTTCTCTTGCTTGGACCGGGTACGGCCGAATCTTCTGATTTTAATTGGATGTCGAAGAGATGCAGTTTGCGGTAGAACGAAGCAATCTCGCCGTCCGGCCCAATGACAATGTGCGTGTTGAACACCCGTTCGCTCCCCGGCTCCTCCTTCTTAGCTTCCTCTGGCGTTGGGAGCTCGTGAATCCCGACACTGATGAAGACGCCGAGTTCTTTGGCGGTAGCACGCAGCGCAGAGGTGTAGGTGTGAGTGGACAGCGGCTCAGCCAGCAAATAGGCCTCGTGGTTGGTGAGGCTGATGTAGTCCGACGCTTCCGGGAGAAAGACAGCTTTGGCACCGGCGGCAGCCGCGTCGCGGACAACTTGCATGGAGATGGAGATGTTGTGCGCAACACTGTTTGTCGAGCATATCTGCCCGACCGCGACGAGCACCATGAGCGTCGATTACAAGGTAACACCGGGCCGAAGTAGCAATCGTTTGGTCGCACGTGACGTCGCGACTATTGGTTACCTGCCTCCACCCTATTCGTGTCTGGCTCTTTATCTATTTCAACAACTCAAGCATTGGGCGAATGCTCTTGCGTCGCTACTGTAACGCTGGCCCTTTCCCCAGTGTGCGGTGGGTTCCTGAAAATCTTCGAGTGTTGTCTCGTTATCTTGCGCGATAATGGCCTATGGGCGAACCACTTATCATCGTGGCACCCAACAAAGAAGCTCTACCAACAGTCTTCCACACACTCAAAGTATTTATAAGCGAAATCTCGTCAAAGAAGACGCGGAGAAGCTTTCTGTCAGTCAACGAGGATGGCGGCGATGGAGCCCTTGGGCCTCCGGACACGATTTCGTTCGTTCATTTGGGACTCGGACAGTCATCTCAAGTCTCCCGAGGAACGTAAATTCCTTCGCAAGCTTGATTTTGGCATCTTGGTATGTTAAACCCGCTTTCATTTGTCTACCCCTCGTCGCACGCTTTCATGTTGTTCAAAATTCCCTGAAAAATGCATAGACAGTGTCCTGTTTGGGCTGGCTCTTGAAGTATCTTGAGTGAGTCTCTGTTCGTTCATATCGGTCATACAGTCTTGACTGATCTTGGCCTGTTCCAGCCAAAGCAACCTCGCAAACGCGTGTAATACTCCTAACACCGTACTAAGGCTTGATATGTGCTTACTCGGAGCGCAGACATTTCCGGTATGAAGGAGGACTTGCATATCATGGGAAATGAATACACATTGTAAGCGCACTAGTATTGCATCTTCAAATCGTTCACAAGATTTGTAGTATGGGAACGTGCTATGTTATCGCTTACGCCCTTGGACAAATCCCATCAACACTAGTCATCCAGAAAATCCGACCCTCAGTGCGTGAAATTGTAGTCACTTCGACATCATAAAACTCATTTCAACCAGTATTACCTCGCGTTTTGTGAGATCGGCTGGGGTATATGGACGTTTGCACAAGCTGGAGCCACTAGTTCTGTGAGTTCGTCTTCGTGTAATCCAGCCTGAAGCTCAACTACGACCAGCAACAAATGTATGCTTTTAGGTTTATGATCGGCCTGTTCGAGTCTGCGTTCTTTCCGTCCTTGTTATACCTTATGGGGAGCTGGTACACAAAGACTGAGCTCGCCAAACGCGTAAATATACTACTTTTGCTTCATTCACCACCACCATTGAAAGCTAAGTCTTAGATTGCGATATTCCATCTCACTGGCTCTATTGGTACTGCCATGTCCGGCTATCTCCAAGCCGCAATTTATAGAAACCTCGACGGGCATGCAGGCTTGGCAGGTTGGCGGTCCGCTTTCATTGTTCGCATCATGTGCATTTTTAAATCGCCCAACAGCTGGCTGTATATTGTGTGTGGCTGCATGACAGTGCCCTGTGGTTTTCTCCTCCTCTTTTTTCTCCCCGATGTTCCTGCCAACTCTCGCGCCTGGTACCTCACCGAAAAAGAGAAGGCGTTCGCTCTTGAACGCGTGATCAAACATGGGAAGGGCCAGCCCACAGGCAAAATCGATTTGGCACTTCTGAAAAGGACGTTCTCGCGTTGGCGTTAGTCTTGCTCTTGAACTCGAACTTTATTGACAAAGATTACCAGATTGGTATTGGTTCGTCCTTGGCTATGTGCTGTATGGCTCCTCTTGCGCTGCGACCGGATATTTCGGCATTTGGTTGAGTACGCCAAGCTTACTAGATCTTCTGCGGCACACTGAGGTTGATATTCTAGAGGCGGAGCACTTCAGCGTCACCCAAAGAAACGTCATTCCTAGCTGCGGCTCTCTGATCAACATTGTTGCCATCTTCATGGTGCCAGCGCCAATGTACGATTTGAATCCGAGCTGATTAGATCGATAGTGGGGCTTCCTCTCCGATCTCACGGGAAGTCGTTTCTTGTGGGTTTTCATACCCCTTACATACGGATTAATTCCCAATGGGTGAGTTAGCGGTTCCCGGTCCGCTTCGTAACTTATTGAACAACTAGAATTCTTGCCGTCTGGCCGCCGTCCATCAAGCTGAAGGTGCCTGATTATGCTGATGAGGGTTCACTATTGACCATCTAGCCTTTAGGAATTCGCTTTCCTCACGGGTGGCGTGCAACTTATGACTGCCGTATTCTACACATGGGCAAACGAAGTGTGTAAAGAGGACAACGAAGGTACGCCGATGCTTTTTTTTCTTAGCATTGCATTCCGATCTAGGCCTTAGAGAGAGCGCTGGTGTTATCGAGTATGAATGGCCTCCAATATGCTGTTGCTGCTTGGCTACCCATTGTTATCTTTCCTCAGTGAGTTGAACTCCTGCCTTTTATCTTATCGCTGACATCGGCATCTAGGACCGAAGCCCCGACATTCCGTGAGCACTAAATTTTTTAGAAATTTGCAGCTGAGCTGACTGTACTTACACGATCCACATAGGTAAAGGATTCCCAGGGACATTCGGGCTAGTTATAGCTGCTCTCGTCGTTATCGGTTTGTGTACTCTTATGTCGTGGGGAAAAGACTGAAGAGCAGCTTTTAGTAATGATCAAACTATTGGTGGACCGCGACGAGCGACGCGATCTGGCGCGGGCATCCGTCGGAGACGAGGAGACGGAGGCAGGCCAACAACGGACTAGTGGCCAAGAAGTCGACATGAAATCGAAAGAGGATGTGCCTGATGGTCTAGGCGTTGCAGTGCTGGAGAAGTGAAGATTGTTCAAGATGGTTTTAACGTAGTCAATCAACGCATGTGCTTCTGCTATTGGTCCGCGAAAGAGTGAACAGTCCAGACTCCGTATCTTGAAGCAGCGAATGAGGAGGACCGTCTAGACCTGCAGTCCAAAATTGCCATTCTAAGCTGATGACATCAATTCTAGACACATCGACTTGTCGAGAACATCGATCATGGGCGGAGGCGCAGGCCTTCCGAAACCTCGCTTGGAGCGTTATAAAAGACTCTCTGGGCGTATGGACAACCTCAACCAACCCCACAACAACAACCAATGGCCTCACCCATACCTACAACCCAAACAGCGGCCGTCGTCCCAACCAGCGCGGCTGCCATCCAAATCCGCACCGACCATCCTGTGAAGGCACAAGCTGAACTCGCCCCGGGAGAGTGTCTTGTCAAGCTGCATTGCACGGGAGTACGCACCCTTTTCTTTCTTCTTCCTGGCGACTTTTTGACGCGCTTTCCCCCAAGGTATGCCATACCGATCTTCATGCCGCCATGGGCGACTGGCCGGTCCCCCCAAAAACACCACTCGTCGGTGGACATGAAGGCGTGGGCACCATCGTCGCGATAGGAAATAACACGACACACTCGCCAGTCAAGGTCGGCGACCGTGTTGGCATCAAGTGGCTCGCAGACTCGTTCGTTCTTTTCTCTTGCCTCGCCATGGATCGAGCTGATTTCCTGTATCAGGTGTCTCAACTGCGAACAGTGCCGCAAAGGTCGCGAACAAAGTACGCTACAGCCTGAATTGAGCTCTCTGTTTCCTCATTATTGTTGCTAGACTGCCCCAACGCGAAGCTCAGTGGATACACCGTTGATGGAACATTCCAGCAATACGTTGTGCGCATAATTCCCTCCCTTGATATTTCACTTCGCTCAGTATTCATTATCAGGTCTCCTACGTCAACCACGTTACGCCAATCCCCGAAGGGTTCGACAGTAATGCTGCTGCTTCCATTCTTTGCGCTGTAAATCCATCTCTCCGATTTCATACCCCGATTGATGACTCTGCAGGGTGTTACCGTTTACCGCGCGATCAAGTACAGCCAAACAACACCTGGCGATTGGATTGTACTTCCTGGTGCCGGAGGTGGACTGGGTCATCTTGGTATGTCATATATTTCCATCCAAACCCGCAATATTTTTGTGTTAATCCTCTATTTAGCTATCCAATACGCTAAAGTTGCCGGCCTTCGAGTTATTGCTGTCGATACTGGCGCCGACAAGAAAGAACTGTGCCTCTCTCTTGGTGCCGACAAATGGGTCGATTTTAAGGAGAGCAAAGACATTGTGGCGGAGATTTTGGCCATAACAGACGGGCTTGGCGCGCATTCTGCAGTCGTGACGACGGCTAGTGTGAGTTGGCGATTGCCTCTTAAGAGATCTTATACTTATTTTCGGTATAGAGCTCTGGCTACCAACAGGCGATCGAGTATCTGCGGAGTGGAGGAACTCTCATGGCGGTGGGTTTGCCAGGCAAGGCAGCGCTCGAAGCCTCGATTTTCTTCACCGTCTTCAAAGTACGTGGTATCAGGTCACTTTTCTCGCCTGGCTGACAAATGTCCGCACAGAGTATCAGCATTCTCGGCTCTTACGTGGGCAACCGACAAGACGCGACTGAGGCAGTCGAAATCGCTGCCCGCGGCCAGGTCAAATGCAGTTTCGCGTTGAAGCACCTGGCGGATCTATCTGAGTACGTGCTTTTACTTGCTCACGTCTATTCTCGATGCTTAATACGTTTGATTAAGGGTCTACGAAGGACTCACGAATGGCACTGTTGCTGGCCGGATAATTCTTGAGATGCCCAACTAAGTAGTGCGGCGATATGGGCGACGAAAGGGAACTAATGTAGAACTTGGTGTATAGTAGTAGTTCGTTATATTCTGTTGTATTACTGCTTTCTCTTCAAAAGGATTGCATCACAAGTTGGCGACGACAGAGTCTAACAATAAGTTACCCAGTGGGTTTCACAACTTTTACTTGCGCAAGAACTGCGCTAAAATGTTGAGGACAGAAGGAAACCCCAGCTTGCATTGATCTAGACGACTACAGTATGTTTACAGGAAATTAAAAGCAGAAAAGCAAAGCGACAAAGACTCTTGAGACTGACTCCGAGTTCAATGCCGTTGCACCACTCTTGTCTTGGTTGCACTGTCTGGCTGCGGGTACACTGCCTGTATCCGCCCCGCCTGAAACCGTTTTTTTTTGCGGATATACTCACTTAGCCGCGCAGTGATGCCGTTAAAAGGCGTGCAGTCTGAAGTAAAGGTCAGAAGCGAGGTTCGTGTTACTTCTCTTTGTGATACCACAGTCTCACCATAATCCTTGCTCGACGTCCCGGCGCCCTTACGAGGGTAGGTGTTCTCATTGCTGATTAGGGGATTTTATTGATGTTTTGTAGGTGGCCGCAGCGTCGATGCCCAGAATCCTGCCTTTTGTATGGCAGATTCTCATCATCAGGGTACATCCGACAACCTTCCCGTCCAATACGCTAGCGATGCGATGGGAGCGCCGTTGATTGCATTGGAGAGCCGGGGGCACGCTCTGGGACATCAGATGTGTTGACGGTCTAGGCGCTTATACCCTGGAGCGTTGCGTGATTGAGCATCTGTATCGTCCTGCACGTCGCGCTTCGGTCTTAGAACAAGCTCCAAGAACCGGTCTGGAGGCGCAGTCGCTGCTGCCAACGACAACCGTAGATGACGAGCGCGAGCATCATATCAGTCGCCAAGATGAGGCCGGGTTGGCGTTGCCAGGGTATAGCTTATTAATTGCCACCCTCACCAGAAACGACAATCGAGATAGCTTTGGGTAGGAGTAGAGGTGCCAGGGAGCGGTCGGAGTGGGGTCGAGGGCATATTTCATGTTGTTTGTTGCATTATGTCGTAGATGGGGTCCCGGAGGAGGATGCGCCCCCTTGTCGTCGGGCTCCGGGCTTATGGTGGACTCACATTGAGTTCGCCAACCAAGCGCGCGTCGCAATGTAATAATGCCTGCAATTGTCAGAGACCCAAGTATTGGATAGCCTTCTTTTTGAAAATCTAGACATTTTCTCTACGTTGTCGAAGATCGTTGCGTGGTCGAGAGTCAGGTTGTGTGAGAAGGGAGTACTTCGAGGGAGTAAGGAAAGTAAGAGTCCGATGGTCACACAGATCGTCATGGACTTGAATGATGACGGGGAAAATACTATATTTCTGAACCCCGAACGAAAAGAAAAAGAAACGAACACCATCCTACTGTATCCTATCCCACATTGAAGCACCAGTCCAATCCATAACCATCCACACTAGAGCATCCCCGATCCAATAACCGCTGCATTCGGGACAATGTCGTCGTAGCCAGAGCCACCATATATGTTGCGTTTTTCATGGTAGCGTCTTGCATCGCGCTCAGGATGGGACACTAAATTGAGGAGCGAGCTTCCGGTGAATGGAACTAGGTTTGAGCTAAGGGCGGGCTTCTGTTTGTCGGTCGAATATGCGAAATTCGCCACGTAATCGTCGTATTGCTTGCGAGATATGACTTGACGGAGATCGTGGTGTGCATTCCTCAGGCTCTTCTTCTTGGCTGCGAGAGCTTCCCGCTCCTCCCTCAACAACTTCGCTGTATGAACTCTTCTCGCGTTGGCAGCATCACGAAGACTCTTCTCTCGGTCGTAGACGTTTCTCGCCTTAGCAATGTAGCTGAGCGATTTGCGGGCGTATTTATCGTATTTGTCTAAACCTTTCTGCGTCTTGGACATCTTCGATTTGAGACTAAGCACATCGGTGAGCGTAGGCGGCACGTTTTTGTCGGCCAGAGGGACAGCGGCAGCGTCAGGGATACCGATAGAAATGTCGCGAATAGGAAGAGAGAGGGTAGTAGATATTCGCTCCGTGCGAGACGCCGGGTCTGCCAAAGAGAGATTCAGGACACGAGAAGAATGAAGTTCTTGGCTTGGTGGGTGTGCCGAGGTAGCGAGGTAGTGGGCATTGCGGGCAGACGACATAGTAATGTTCGTGAGTGGGCAAACGAAGGTCTCGTAGACGGTGGTTGAGAGAGAGAGAATGATGACGTGTCACATTCGATTGGCTGCTCCAAATTGATCCAAAGAATACATGAATTATCGCCACGGTTATACGCTGCTACGAGGAAGACTCAGGAAGTCTTCTGGAACTAACAGTACTGTTTTACTGCAAATACATGATCAGACAAATTGGTATGTGAGATGGAGGGGAAATATTACCGGAGTGCAGTTGCGAGTTGTCCGACGTTTCTTGTTGGCTCCACCGGAATTGCCGCCCTCGTTAGTCTCCTCGCCTTTCATGTTCTCATCGGTAACCTTTTCGCCCGCTGCTGCAGATGTAGCTGAGACGCATACTGAGTGAAGCTGAGAGTTCGGGGCATAACAACGTACCCTTCACGTCGGCTGGCAAGCGCCGCTTTAGGTTGGAGCTCCGAGTAGCACGCGCAATGTAGGCTGGAAGAGTAGCTTCAGATACAGACATAGCGAGAGTCGAGGAGTAATGGACAACGTACCTTGGGTACCAGAGAGTTGAAGGCTGATGCTGTCCGACTCGGTTTTGGTAGCATGGTACAGTTCCAACATCTTGGCCGTCTCCGCTTCATCTACTTCTCGCTCCTTGGAGAGCTCCAGCACATCATCAAGGATCCCTTCAAACACGGCTTTACTGCGAGCGAGTTGGTCGACGAGGTGGTCCATATTGGTTTCTAACAAGGAGGCTTGAGAGTTACTGTATTCAACTTGAAGTTTCGATCGGCACTTTGGAATGAAAGTAAACTGTAAGGCTGAGTAAGCAGAGACAAGCCCGCATTCAATGGCGCACTCGTCTTTCCTGTTGACTTCGCTAATATGCATACGGTGAACTCAGTTCGCCAACCTGACCTAACCAAGCGCGCGTTCAAGTTGGATTGTGTTGTGGATATATATAATCATAATTTGAAAGAGTGGTGGTAGGCCGCAAGCTTTTGGTTCCAGAGAGGATAATGAGCACCTAATTCAGCCTGCTTCTTGGGTAACCGAAAATTTAACACGGCTTTGTAGTGCGAGGGATGTTTGCCTATTCTCCAGAGATTATTGGACAGTTATTGCAGCAGCAGTAGCGAAGGATGCTGGCTCGGTACAGAAACAAATCGATGTCGTGTCAATGCTGTTGGGTGATGAGTCACGTGGCAACACCAACTTTCTCCTCCCACTCACGATGCGTTCAGGGACTCTCTCGTCATATCCTCCACTGGGCATTTTGCAAGCTTTTGGCCAGCTATGAGTGTTTCTACTCTTGAAGGTCCATACACAATGATTTCCCGCGCAAACTGTCTAGCGTGCCGTTCACGACGGAGTCGTATCTTTAATTGGACAGATATGTTCCACGCAAAGCTGGGCTGGAATGCGTGTTCAACTCAGTGACGAAGCATCACAAGAACACTTCCTGCATTTTGAAGAGAAGGAAATCATTCAGAACTTGCAGGTAGCTCGTGTGAGTGTGGTTGTCACTCACCAGCCTGACGCGTGTTGATCTTCCATCTAAGAGCAACGTCAAGACGAACACTGGTAGTGGTCCAGCTACCTGAATGTGTCCCAGGGCTCGATTCACCCTATCCAGGCCGTTCGGGCTCATTGGATTACAATCATTCTTTCTCACAGCCTTCAAGTTTAAGGTCATGAAAATGTGGGTTTTGAACTCGTCGTTCGGACTAGGCTAGTGACTTTTGTGCTGGTATTTACGACTTGTAAGCGCTTTTGTCGATTATAGTCGTTATGGCCTGACTATCTCTCCCAAAGCATTGAGGTCTTTCAACGCATCTTCATAACTGTGGCGCACTGTGGAGCGCAATCAAATCACCTCATGCCTCTCGTTCAATTGTTGAAACTCGTGAGTTGCAACCGTTTCCAGAGCGCACTTCGGCGCCGCAAGCTTTTGCATGCTAGGATTGACTATTTTTATTTTTAGATGCGGATCAGCACGATCCTTGGTCGCTTGTTGGGTAGCAACGTCCGACTGAGCTTGCATCATATCAATTCGCACCCGTAAACGATGAGTATAAGAAATGACCCCATGTTTTGCAGCCTCCCATTCCCTCTGCGATCTGTGATCGTTTCCTTTATCCGTTTTTTTATTCTTTTATTTTCGACCTTCCAATTCCTTCACCGACATGCGTTTCGCTATTCCTTTCGTTACCCTTGCCGTTTCTCTCAGCGCCGTCAAAGCTATACCTCTTGTATGTCCATCTGTGGCTTTTGGTAACCGTGGGCTTGTGCTAATAGGAGCATAGGTGGAGCGCAGGGTTGAGCAAGGCCTCGCTGTTCGCGCCGACGCGACTGATGTTGATTCTTTGGTTCAATCGCTCTTGCCAGAAATCGAGAATCTGATTGAGTCGAAACTTTCGTGAGCACTCTCATTCATGCGCTCATATCGCGGAAATAACACCAACTCAGTTCGCTCATACCCCGTGCTGCTGACGAAGCCGTTGACGATGAAACGACTGATGATGAGGCTGAAGACGACGCTGAAGACGACTCGGGAGACGATGCTCAACTTGGTGCTGTAGACAATGCTGCAGCCTCATCGAACAGCACTGCTTCTGCTAGTACTGTTGATTCAAAAGCCGATAACTCGACAGCTGCTGATAGCGCATCAGCGGCCGACTCTTCAAATGCTTCGGGCGTTGAGGGCGCTCTAGAGAAACTCCTTGGACCCCTTCTTCAAGGTATGTGTGTTGCAATCTGCATCTGTTTCAGTTGGCCAACTCAATTTTCTAGGTCTAGAGGGCAAAGTTGAGGGCGCCATCCAATCCAAACTGGGAGGTCTTTTCGGAGGGAAACTCGCAGACCTGTTTGGTGGAAAGAAGGCGGACGCGGCGGTCTCTGCTCGTCAAGACAACACCGGTCTGGGTGGAATTCTCGAAGGTCTCATCCAAAAAATCCTCCCGACAATCGAGAGCAAGATCGAGGCAAGCCATTTTTATCCATCGAGTCGTCCCAATTTCTCATACAAGTTCAGGATCTTTTGAATCAGAAACTCGGCGGACTTTTGGGTGACAGCGCTGCCGCACCTGCCGCAACGACTCCCGAGCGCCGTGATGGTGTACCCGACCTCAGCGGCATATTCCAGCAACTTTCGTCTAGCATTCTGCCCGCCATTGAGTCGAAAATCGACGACCTCATCACCTCCAAGCTCCAGGGTCTCTTGGGCAGTGGCAGCATTGGACGTCGTTGAGAACGTGTGAAATAAAGGATTTGAGATTTTTTATGATACCCTACGTCGTGAGGATGTGCCCATGACGCAGATGAATATTGTAATTTGGTCGATTGTAATAAAAGCGCGGTTCATTTGGGAATCAAGTATTCAGTCAGAGTGCGTTCAGTTGGGATGATTCGGAAATTTTGAGTCTCCTACATCGATATCCTCCAGCGTTCCTCCGGCCTCAGCAGTGTCAGTGTCAATGGAGTTGGACTATCGGAGCATGGGTCAATCCGATATTCAGAGAAGATGCGCACCCTAAGGTGATTTAGAGAGGCGGCGGGTAGCAGATACCGCCCTCGCCTGTTTGTTTGTTGCTGGGGAGCTGGCGTCGGGGTCGGTCTTGGTGTGGCTTGGCAATCACCGATTCTAGCAACGGAGGCGGGATGGGTTACGACCAGTCGGGCCGTGCTGATGCGACATCAAGGCTCCGGCGAATCTTGCTGCTGAGTCGTGCCGGATTTATCACTTAGGTTGGACCTTTCACTATGTTGCCTGGAACAGCCGCGGAAGTGGTAAATCCCTTAATGTATTCGAGGAAGCTAAAAAAATGAAGCCTCGTCTCGGACGAACGATTTCTCCCACTCTGGTGGCTGTAACACAGATTCAGCTCGGGCGAAGAGCTCAAGGCTAAAGACGGACGAAATATTGGATTCTCCTTGCGCGTAATCTCGCGATTGTACTCAGGCTCACTACGAAAAGTTACGCCGTTAATCCGCAAAAGCGGTGTGCACATCATCAACTGATCGTCGTCGTCGGCTGACATCCCGTGGCTTTTGGATCGCCTCTGCACTTCTCTCTCTCTCTTTCGTCATGTCGCTACCAAGCAGCGCCTGCTATAAGAGACACGGCGTAATCTGTGTCTCTTCACCATTCCCCACTCTGGTCTTCGATTCAACTACTCATCCGACATGAGCTCCCCCACCTTGACCAGTCTTGAGGCTCCCGTTGCCTTCGACTTTGACTACCCTGTTCGCGTTTCCCGGGCTTGCGCCAACTGCAGAAGTAGTAAAACCAAGGTGAGTTTCAGCCACTTGCCTTCGGATTAAACAAACTAACCAGGACCTACAGTGTGTTACCGATTCGCAAGATCGAGCTTGCATGCGTTGCTGCTTCAGCGGTTTCGATTGTGTCTATGAACCAACAGAGAGACAACGGGAGCGTCATGCCCGCAAAGGCCATCCGAGCTCTTCATCCAAGGGCAAACCCCGCCGAGGCAGAAAACGTCTGGCTGTCCGACCACCCACCGTTATCCCGGCATCGCCAACCATTAGCCAGTACGACTGCGACGAGTTGTATTGCAAATGCCCTTCAGATTCAGACTCCTACTCACCGGCTGCATCACCTGGCCCACGCACGCCTGCTATCTTCGACACTACTTTCCTCCCATCCACTTCCACAGCGCAGTACCCAGCGCCTATCCAACCACCTCCACCACCACCAGTGGCGCGTTATGCTCCACAGTGGCTCGAGTACCCTCCACCCGAGAGTGCATCTGAGAGCAGCATTCATTTCTCTGCTGACGAATTCACCTTTGACGTCTATCCGCCCGCTCTTCCGGACTCTGCATGTTTACCGGGGACATTCAATGGAGCTTTGGCCTTCCAAAGTCATTATGTCGGTGATGCAGAGCACCGACAATTTAACGAAACCTCGGCTCTGGGACTATTCGACCTTGATCTCGACTTGAACGACTTCCGCTTTACTCTCCCTCTGATGGAGACCGACCAGACTATCTACAGTCATGTTCCATATAATTTCTGACACTTGTTGTATTTTTATTCCTGGGCTCATCGTATCATCTAGTGTATCCTCCACCTGTTTGCTTGTTCGTGTATCGTCTAAATCTTTTTTTCGCCGACGACCAAGTTTCAAAGGACGTCTATCCCGACATCGTGTCTTGGTTGCATTGTCTATGGTCGGGTATCGGGTAGCGGGTAGCGGTCCGCCTGAAACAGAAGTTTCGGGTCTTGTCTCGCGGCTCCACTAGCCAGCCCGATAAATAGCCTGGAGTTGAAGGGAGAGCTGAGAAGACGAACCGCACTCTTTTTCGTCAGTATCGACGCTTGCCTTCGACGACGCAATCAGCCCAGCCACATACCATGCTCTACTCTTTTTTGGGCTGTTGCCAAGGTAGGAATGCTGACCATAGCTTGTATGCTGGCTGATTTGCGAACGTTTTCAGGCCGTCGAGGTATTCTTGGGTTCTGCGCTTGTGAGTGTCGTTACCGTCGTCGACATCGAGTAGCTCTGACCGTTTCGATTGTAGCCCTCATGCAGAGCCCAATTGGTGACGCCGAATCCCCACCACCAGCTTCAATCCACCGCAACATGTGGTTACGTCACGCCGAAGGACGGAGCGCTGCCGATATAAGGCCAATGGATATGGGCTCCGATCGCCCGTGGACGCGAAAGCGCTACGTGGTGTAGGTCCTTCCATCAGGCAAGATATTCGCGCAGCTGCATTTGGATGCTTTCCGAGGTCGTAGACTTGTTCGATGACGACCATAGCGGCTACGGAACGCTACTTACCCGTGTGTGTAATGGGGACTTGTTGCGAACGGCGACGGGACTTCCTGTCTGATCCTTCACCCTCAAAACGATAATCAACATGGCTTTGCCAGTGGGAGGGAGTGGTCGGAGTGGGGTTGAGGGATTCATCTTGTTGTTCGTTGCATCATGTCGTAGATATAGTCTCGGAGGAAGACGCGCCCCCTTGTCGCTGGGCTCCGGGCTTACGGCGGACTTGTTCCGCCAACCAAGCGCGCGTTGTACTTACTACCTGTAGCCTATTATGTAATCAATTGGCAGACCACGTGCACTTGAAGTCCAAAGACTTGGAGACGAAAATGGCGGTCGTGAACAAATCTATACTTGCGGCGTCCACTCTACGTGCTACAACGTTACAAAAGGGAGGGATACTAGGAAACGGGTCAAAGGGAAAGAGTGCATTGTGCCTATAGTCCGCCGTTACCCATCACACTGGCCACGTCCGGAACCTCGTCATCAGCTCCTTTGCTCTTCAAATGAGCTTTGGCCTTGACCGTGCCCTGTCGAGCGTCCTCATACGTCGTGTGGCGAATGCATTCGATAAGGGTCGGCCCCGTGACATCCTTGAGCGAGGTCGGTAATGTCGGTTTTGCCTTCTCGAGTGCAATATTGAATACTTTCTCGAAACGCGCAAGTTGCATCGGATCTGCGACACGTCTGAGTTTCTCTCGAGCGGCTGCGACCTTCGTCAACTGTTGGTGAAGCAGGTTCTCGAAGTTTTCGTCAAAGAGAGCGGCGCGTTGTTTTTCGGCGAGTAATTCTTCGAGTTTGCGCTCAGAGTTGATTGCAATGGCTTTAGCGGTCGTCTCAACATCAGCCACCTCTTCAAGAATCCCTTCAAGCTTTGGCGCCAGCTTTGCAACCCGCTTTTCAAGCTTCTTCATGATGGCAGGAACTTCGAGTGTGGAGGGGAGGTCGATGGGTCGACGCGAGATGTATGCATAGTCGACAGAAACAGAGTTGGAGACTTTAGGGTTGGAAGCGAGATGCGAGCGGATCGGTGGCTGGGGCTTCGCGAGATGACTCGAAGAGACGTTGGCCTGAGTGGTACGATTGGACAAGTTGGCTGAATCGGCGGGTGAGACATTCTGAGGGGAGATATTCTCCTTCGAATGACCGCGAGTCGAGCGAGATGACGCGTAGGCTACGTGTTGAGAGACTTGGAGACGCGAAGTGTTTCCATTGATAGGGACAAGCATAGTATGTGAGGTGCGTGTGGTGGTGGTGGTGGTGGTTGGTAGTCAAGAAGTGCTCGTGACGAATCACACATAGTTCGTCGAATTTAATCCACAAATCGACAATCGTATAAAACTAGTACTCATTTCGCCACTCCTCCCAGTACCATTGCTTACTGGAAACAATAAATAATGATGTCAAGCGGCCTAAAAAGACGAACCTCCAGCTTGCTGCGTTTCGTTGGCGGGTCATTCAAGGCAATTTGCGAGCCATCTGAACCAGCGGGTTAACGATTACCCTATCTATGTACAGCAAGGGACTGAACATACCCAACACATCATCGTAAAAGCGCTTCGTCGCGCCGGGAGCAGGCATGATCATCGCCAAACCCTCAGTCTCGAGGCGGTCCGCATAGGCTGAGAGAGGTTGAGCAACACATGGCGAGTCGTCGGGAGCTCTGCGACGCACCGTTCATTGCTCGAGCTTGCATCTCCAGGTGATGGAGGTAGGCTTGCTGTTTCTCGCGTCTTTCTTGGCCGTCTACCCAGGCGAACTCGGAAGCTTCGCTATTGTACTGAGCGATGGCGGCTAAGGTACGTTTCTCGTAGGAGGAGTACATCGTACTGAGGGAGGACATGATAGGAATGGAGAGTGTTGACAACGCAGTCACAGACAAATTGCAGAATTTATGGTTCTCGATCGCCATTACTTACTTCGTCCAAGACTGGGAGCAGCTGCTCATCCATGACTATGCGAAGTGCCAAATCTTGAAAATTGTCGACGGTAATCTTGACCTCAGACTTGCGATGAAAAACGAGTGGAAAAAGAGCATTAGATCAATGAGCATTACATAATCAAATCATCGTTTCTCTTTTCTTCTCTTCCACCATGTCTCGCAAATCAAGGGCCGCATATACGAGGATTCTGCCTGCATCGCTCCCTCCTCTTGACCAAATTCCTCTAGATATTGTGATCTTTGTGAGTTCTGGCTTAATGACGAACCTCAATGTACTAGTCATCAGTAGATTCTCCAACATTGTTCGCCATTCGACCTGGCGCAGCTTTCGTTGGCAACCAAGTCATTCAGAAGAATATTAACTGGGCATCCGTCACTTTGGAAGCATGCTCAGCTCCAAACTTCGCGCGGAACCTGTCCCTTGCTTCCCGAGTGTCCCCCAGAGTCGTTCACCCATGAAGCCTATGCAGCATTCATTTTTGGTGGTGGACACTGCAGTGTGAGTCTATCTCATTTCTTATCATGCTTATCTCTCTGACCGACCAACTTCAGCATTGCTCAAAGTTGACCAATCACCTCCCGTTTTTGTCTTTATTTAGGTTCCGCTCTTGCTCTGTAAGCTTGGGTTTTCCGACATGCAGTGACAACTTGAACTTTATCCAGCAACAGTGTAAATCTGCGCTCATGTCAGAAGAGTATGTCTTCCAATCTTTTATGTCGCTTAAATTTCGGTGCATGACCACGGACAATAGAAGGATGTTCACCGATTGGGGGGACATCAATCAAACTGCATTCTGGAGCCCGTGGCTTCCTCATTTTCACTCTCAGGTCTTGGGCAAGACGTACCGCGTATATGACCGCCAAGCTATCGCCCTTGCTTGGAGAGAACTGCAAGATGCGACCGCCTTTACTGCTGGTTTAGCACGCCCTTTTCCAAATGAATTTCCTGCTAGGTCAACAGACGAATTGGGATTGGTTTGGCTGTTGCCTTGTTCGCAACCCTAACTCATGTGACTAGATCCACGCCAAACGTGAACAAGCTCTTGCATCATTAACGCTGGTCAGAATGTTTTCCTTCCAGTGAATCGAGTCCTCACTCGTAACATGTGTTAGAATGCGCAACTTGTCACCGAATGGGCCGAACATTATCTTGTAGAAAAGCGTCGAATGCGAGAAACTAACCTGGCCTTGTAAGCATCATTTCTCTCAGCGTGTTGCCCTCATCCAACCGTCATAGTATCAAGCTTGTTGCTAACTGCGACAATGTATCTGTTCGTCAAGTGCTCGAATGTTCCGGATTCCAACGCATTTTTGCGGCATTCAATCGTGACTTGGAAAAGTTGACCTTCACAGGTGTGTCCTCCCTACGCTGTCAAAGTTCAAACCTGGAACAATTTTTTTCTAGTTTGGATGGAACATCGTTATGCAGTTTTAACCGAGATAAACGGCATTCGGTTCGGCCGTCAGAAGGCTCTTGTGGACCAGGTCGAATGTCCGCATTGTCAACAGTCATTTGGTGTCGAGGCGCTTTCAGTTCATACCGTTGCAAAGTACGAGTACTCTTCTTCCTTACTACATATGATAGCGCAATGCTCATCAATGGTACAGGCACAGCGATGTTGATCCAGACCTTTTGCCGATCCGACCTCCATTCATGATGGGTAAAAAGCATTGCCGAGATTGTCCCAAGTCGGATCGTGTCTATACCGGACAAGGCTTACGTGCTCACCAACGGGCAAAGTTCGTTGCAGTGAGCTTTATTGAGTGGAGTTTGCTGATCCATAATTTTACAGGCATCCATAACTCCGTTTCATGATATGTGCATTGTAAGTCTGTCTCGCTTGACCTCAAACTTGAACTGTTCAAAGTCATTTTAGACTACCTCAAGCTATTTACATAACTAGCCAACAACTCGAATTTCTTACTTCGCGCGTCGACCAACTGTCTTCGACGGGCCGCAGAGAAGCATATATTTTGTGGAATGCCCAACCCAGCAAGCTGGAGGTTTGTCTTGCTTTTTAGGTCGCTCAACATCGACGTTATTCATTCTTGTTTCCAGTAGGCGCCGAGTGGCGAATTTTGCCCTCACGGATGGAATACTAGTTATACGATTGTCGTTTTCTGTGCGTTACATTAGATAGGCCATGTGTGATTCGTCACAAACCCGCATTCGGGCTATGCATTTCCAGTTTACAACGTTCTGACTTCTTGCTGAGTGGTTCTGCTTCCTAGTGCATTGCCTATGAAGGACACTGGAAAGATATGAGCCGCGAGAAAACCGAAGGGACTTAAATAGAGTCCATATCTGAAGAGCATAAACACAAGACGTGAAGTGGAGCCTGAGGCCGCCGGCGACAAAACCAACTCGAAAGCGCGGTGTCGTGGAGTCTGATACAAGGACAAGTCTGCAACTATGTGACCCACGAGAAGAAGAATTCGAAGGAAATTACATTCAAACGTCTGTAAGCAAAGGACAATATGCATACTAGACAGGACTCTTATCAGTAAGAGAATAAGGGTACTGATATCCGTGAGTGCGACAATATACTTAAACTTGCGCATCAACTTGAGTAGACGGTGGCTGGCGTGAAACAAGCGTCAACAGGTTTAATCGAGCCAGAAGAGGGAAGGATGACCACAAGAAATGGTGTTGACTTTTATCATCGAGGGGAGCATCTTCGCCAGCAATAACAATCACATCCAGCCGCGTATCGTCTCCCAGAGCGTCAGCCAATCTCTCCCAAAGACAGACATCATCTTCAGTTATGCGGCATTCCACTTGGAGTGCAAGCCGAAGATGCTCTGGAGGGCCCGGAGGACGGCTTAAATAGCCAATGAGAGCGGGAATCTCAGCCGGTGCAAACTCGTCAATGTCCAAAACACGCAAGCGAGTGGGGGATACGAGGAGTAGCCAAGGGAGAAAAACGATTGACGAGCGTCGGATATGGATGGTGCTGAGGGCAATGGTAGGCCGAATGCAGGTTTCCATGGTAAAGTTTACGTGTGGAACGGCGTAAACGGAGTCGAAAGCGAGGAAACGCAAGGATGGTGCACATTTCCCCAGACGCAGCAGTCCCCGTCCCGCCGTAATACCATACAATCTGAGCGTTTCGAGCCGGGGTAAGGCGGATAAGACCTGAAATGGGAGCTCGGACAAAGATAACTCCTTCAGATGGCGCAGTTGAACAATTTTTGGGAGTACAACACAGAGGGGAGAGAGTGAGAAGTGGTCACTGTCTGAATCCGGGTTGTTGTAGAACTCGAGGTTGCGGATAGATAGGGGAAGTGTCGAATGACTGGATGCAAGCAGGTCGTTGAGTAACGTCACTGCTCGTGATATGCTCCTTCTCCCGGTTGAGGGGGACATGTCAATGTGAGCAAATAGATGATATCGACTCGTAGCGATCCACCCTCGACAGACCAAAGCGCAACGGCCGAGAGCGGCGGTATCTGCATGAAGGAAGTCGACTATGAGATCACAGAGCTCGTGGGGGAGTCTCGGAGGCATAAGAGCGCGCTAAGGGAAGGTATCAGTCGCTTAGAAAGTGGAGCTCAGTATAAGTAAAACGATCAGTGTCCTTGTTTTCGCTTACACGTGAAGAAAACACGCGCATGGAACTTGAAAGATGACTGGCCACCGAACATATCAGGTACAATAACCCTCGCGATCGCCGAATGACCGTAACTGAGAACAAGGACCATCCCGCGGACCTTGGCTACAGCCTACCCCAATCATGATAGTAGAAGATGGAGAATGAACACGAACCACCGCAGGCTTTGGAATACCAGTATTCGAGAGACTGTCGACACTGCTAGGCCATGGAGTCAGCACGTAGTCGTGGCAGAGGTAAGAGTGTGGGGGCAGAAAATGATGCGGCCAACGTAAGTAAGTCTCGGCGTTATCCCCATCAGAAAACAAATGTTCGGACCGATTCTCCGGCGGGAGCAATAAGTACTGTCTGTGCAGACTCGAGTTCGAAGTGCAAGAGTTGTATAAAATAGGCGTCCCTGATGTCAGGTAGGAAAACCGAACACCACAAACTGACCATCAACTGAGTCACCTCACCTGGCCCACCGATACTTCAACGCAGTCGCACAGACCATATGAAATACTTACGATGGAGGAGGTAAAGCAAATGGCTAAACACAACGCCCATACAAGGCAATCAGGCTGGTGGACCGAGTGCGGAGAGCCCAAGCAGAGAATGCTCTTGTCCATGGTGGTTGAGAAGAAGTCGCGAAATGATCCGATCACCTTCGACTGATTAGATTGAGCCAATCTAGCGACTACAGGCTCTACAGTCAGAACAACCTGACGCAAACCTGAAGAGACGCTACTCTCTTGGTCCGCAGGCTTCGACTACATATGCCTTGACACGACGCTGTTCAGGATCACCCACACCAGGAACATCTTCAGGCATTTCTCCATCCAAATTTGTCTAAGGAGTTTCAGCTCATGACAACGTGGACAACAAACGACCATCGATACCCTGGTTCGATCGGCACCAGCGTTGATAAGAATAACCGCAGCCTCCGCATGAGCAGAGTCCATGGCAAGATGTAAGGGTGTGTTTCCTAACGAAACATAAGCGGATAACAACTTGAACGGCCAGCACAAACCAATGCGATCAGCATTGTTGAGACGTGTTTTGGCCGGCGGCACAGAAGAATTGAGGAGGAGATTAATGAACGCAGCGGATCCAGTTGTGGCCGCACGGTGTCTGCGGTTCATAAGCAAGTTCCCACAAGCGTGATCGTCACCAACAGGGGGACTTGGTTCGCGTTATCTTTGGCGTTGATCTGGGGGGAAAGGATGATTCGATAACTCAAGCAAGAAAAGGGGCAGCATACATCGGCGCCCCGTGAAATCAGCAGTTTGCCGATCTGAAAGGAATCGATGAACGCGAGCTCGGGAGCAAGGGAGCCACATACGTCGATACGCGATTTGGACGCGGCATAGTGTCTGATTGAAATTAAAATGCAGGCTATATGGAGTACGACAAGGCACACAAAGGTGTTATCCCCTTCCCGTTCTTCCTAAAGCAGACATTAAAAACGCGTGTTGTGGAGGAAATTGGGGAAATCACACTAAACTTGTTCACGTCGGCACCCGCGCCGACAAGTTCTTGGACAACTTCATCATGGCCTGCACTAACTGAGAAAGAGAAGATTAAAAGAAGAATTGAACTGCAGTGTTATTGCAACCTGCGATGTGGAGGGGTGACCAGCCCATATTGTCGACCACGTCGATTTGCGCGTCTTTGTCGATGAGGAAGCGAACGATGTCTTTAGCACCAGAAGATGCTGCCCAATGGAGCGCCGTGCGTTCATCCTATATTCCGCCTTACATCATACTTGCTTGATCAAGAGCGGCAGCTTACTGCGTCTATTGCATTGATTAACTTGGGGCTTTCAGTGACTAGAGAGCGAACTACATGGAGTTGGTCTGCAAAATAAGTGTCTATAGAGATACGGACAGATACTGAGCTTACTGTTTTGCGCTGCAGTCTGGACGGATATGGACATGACGAAAGAAAACAAGACGCGTAATTGTGACACTGGAGATCAGATCAACGTGTGACAGCCGGCGGCCAAACTTTGACTCTGCCAACCATGCCGGCCATTACGCTCCATGCAGCAGAGGAAGAACACAACCCACACTCGCTGATACCTTTCCTTCACTCTCAACCGCAAACACTTCTTACGCGACTGTACCAACGACCTTCGACATGTCTTTCTATCTTTCGGTTCTCTCTTACTTTCAGTCAACGATGTCACAACTTATACCCCCCAGACTTCTTGCACCACTTCAACAGCAGATAATCATGAACTTGCTTTGGCTAGAGAGCGCCATTTCTTCTACGACCATGTCAGCATGGGTCGTTCGGGACGCGCGCAAGAAAGTTTTATGCTTCTTGGAATATCATTTGGTTATGTTTTCTGCAGAAGTTATGACACTGCCTTGTCCGCATTGTACAAACTCCACATCATGTCCACCAATACTCCTGGCCGGCTCGTGCTGAACACAACATTCAAAATAAGCTTGCGACAGGCACTCACTGGCGGGTAGCGATTTCTTTCGGGTCTGTGCCACTATAGCGATCCCCTGACTTTTGAGCTGTATAGTGGTGCAACGGGAAGCTTTTGGGGTTCCGGCTCCACCAGACGAAAAGCAGCCGCCAATGTCTGTCGAAACATTGGATGCATATGCGCTTGAGCGGTGGGAGGTATGTTGACCGTCGTTGACATCGTCGTCAGTTTTCATAGATTCTAGACCATTCTCCACTATATGGTATCATCCGGAACAGGCCAGAACTCCATACAGCCGTCTAAAGACGTGCTATTTCTGCTAAAACAGAGCGGGCTCATGGCAAGTCACAAGTGCGTGTCGTCTGTCGAGTTGGTCAACATGTTGATAACTGCTCTCAGTGGTACCAACCAGATCACGTCCGAAGGCTTCCAGTTTCTTCTCCAGTCTCCCCATGCACAGCTATGGCAATTACTATTAGAGTACCTACGCATGGCTGAGGTAACTCTCGTTTTCCGTGACCCAAAACTATCTGAAATCCGGGTCTCAGGCGCGCAGCATGGACCTCGTTGAAGTTTTAAGCTTTCTATTCATGCTATCGACAATGGAGCTGGGTCGGGTAAGTTAACACTTGCTGTTAGCTGCCTCGTTGCTTGGTCGCCTCTAATTTCGTGCCCTTTGCGAACCAGGAATATTCGACTGCCGAAGGAGCGATCGCGAATTCCCCTCAAAGCCAAGTTCAGATGCAGACCCAAAAGGTGATGCTCGCTGATCTGCGTGACTACGGGCTGGTTTGGACACGCAAGGTACATCTGCTGTTTCCATTCCTCTGTCCAACTTTGTTTAATCAACCAAACGCGCATAGACGGCCGCCAAGCGATTCCACCCTACTCGATTAGCGACAACGCTCACCTCCTCTTCGCCTCCGTTGGCAAGTTCCGCCGGCCCCGGTGCAGGCCCAAAAGAGGGCTTCATTGTCCTCGAGACTAACTATCGAGTCTACGCCTACACGGGCAAGTCTCTTCACCTTTTCTCTCCAACCGCTCTATCCACCGTTGCCGTTATTCACTACGCCTGGAGCGCTGACCCCTCGGAAACTAGACAACCCTTTGCAAACCGCGGTTCTCAACCTCTTCGTTTCACTCAAGTATCGCTTCCCGAATCTTGTAGTCGGCTCAATCACGCGCGACAGCGTGAAGAAGGCACTTTCAAGCGGCATCTCAGCGGAACAGGTGAGTCGTGCCATCCCTTGATATCGAGTTGTATGCAGTGGTCCATGTGTCTATGCTGCCGTTATTCCAACGTCCACATAGCATTTGACCCTCGTCAAAAATGCAAAATCCTAAACCACAAATTCTAAATAACTGAAAAACTGAAACTGACCACTCATTCCGTTTCGTCTCTGAAATTTACCAAAGCGCTGACGTTCCCATGTATCTAGATTATCAGCTATCTAATAGCGCATGCGCACCCTCAGATGAGAAAGAACGTACGTTGCCTCCATTCTTCGTCACACAGATATGCTCTATACTCTTTCGTTCCACGCATGCTGTATGCCGTGAACCTCATCCCCTCCGCACTCGCCGCAATGGGGCTTGTCATTAATCTTTCCTAACGTTACAATACCAGAATCCTCTTCTGCCCGTTACAGTTCAAGACCAAATTCGGCTCTGGGAGCTCGAGCGGAACCGGCTCAAGTCCTCTGAAGGTGTGTATTCTCGTTCGTTCGTAGTGAGCTTTTCGCGCCATGTTCTCGTTCGAAACATGTGCTCATCCATTTCCACCTCTCTCCCCGATCTCATCTGGCACTCTACTCAACAAACCTAGGATATCTCTACACGGCGTTTGCTTCGGAGGCTGACTACCAACTCGTGCTTAACTACGCCAAAGAACTCGATCTCGTCATTTGGGAGAGTGCTGCAAAGAGGTGTTTCTTCGGTAGCACGGAGGGCCACCCGCGGATTAAAGCTTTCATTGAGCGTCGGACAGCAGGCGAAGACCCATATGGCCCTTGAATGGGATCTCCTACATAGGGTCTCTTCGGTTCTTGAGTTGTTCTGAAACTCAATATCCAGGATGTGGGTAGCTACAATGCCGGTGAACAAATAATTTTATTTAGTGGGCCAACCAACGTCAGCTCGAAGGCAAAACTTAACGAAAATAGGCTGACTGGCTGTCGACGACCTTGAAATCAAAACTGTGACGCCACATGTGCCAACCACTGGGTTGAACACCGTCGACGCGTGTGTACGCAGCACATAAAACTCACGAGAACGACAGGTGTTGTAATTTTTCTTGGGCAGCTCGAGAAACAACTCTGATGAGGGAATTTGAACAAAAAACCATGAGCAGAGCAGCGGCGCCCCAAATCTCGGAGAAAACCGGCCAAATTGTGGCAACAGACAACTGTCGTACTCGACTCGGGTGTTAGTCGCCGATAAACACGAAGAATTGACAGTGGTACCAAATTAATTAGCAGAGCAATAATGCCGTGTTTCGTTTCCACAACAGTTCAAGCCAGAACCTGAGATTGGGGGTCGGGTTTGCCTCTGCTTCTGCTGACGCACGGGCACAACGCAGCTGAATTGGTGAGCTACTCCGGCAATGAGTCTGCGACAGTCGAAAAGTTAGATCGCTGCAAGAACCTCGAGTTTATTTTATGCGATGCACGCGATTCCTCTTGCCCGCCGGATTGATGTACCTGAGGACACTCTCCACCGCGGACATGGTCGCACTGTCTCTGTGTGTTTGTGTGCATCTCTCAGCCAAACGCGAACAGTCACGGCTGTCACACGGAGATCCAAATCACAAACGCGATCGAACCTGATCTCCTCGGCGCGGACTTTTCCGTCTTGCTTCTTCGTCGTCGGGGAGACTAGGCCCGTCAATCAGCGAGACGGGGATCCCACAGTCTGCCAGTTCAAGCTGGAAGAGCTCGCGAATACCCGCAGTCGTCGGCGCGTTTCAGTCCAACGACGACGAGGTCACGCTTTTTTGGGAAATGAAAAGCATGCCAAGGTCACTCGATGCCAGGCGTGCGCGCCGTTTCTCTGGATATGGAGTTTGCTTTGTTTGGTTTGAGAATACAGCAGGGCTACATACAAGGCACAATGAGATACTGGTGTAGATCGGTTCGATAAGTAGCAGGGGGTAAAGCAATAGGAAAACACAAACAACCAACAACAACAATGATAGCAAGATGCACAGCTTATGTTCATACAAAACAGAGCGAGAGGGGCAAAGGCGAGAAAACGAGTCCAAGGGAAATCATGCACCATTTGCGTCTATGAGTCACCATATTCGCCGTCCGCATTTGAAGGATACTCCTCTGGGCTTGATAGGCCGCCAGAGCTCGGAGCATAACTCGATGCCGACCCATATGAATGTAGACTCGACGGCGGAGGGGAAAACGGCGATTGAGGCGAAGACATTGCGCTACTTAGAGCTCCGGACGTTCCTGGCGAACTCGATCCGGTTGTACCCGAATGAGACCAGGTACTTGGACTATATGACTGCGAGTTGTTGTGGGCTGGGATAGATCGCATGTAACCCTGTGTAGTATAGATTTGAGATGCAGGAGGCGAAAAACTCGACGCTTGTGAGACTGGACGGGCGGGAGCATCAGCCTTGTCTGTTTGAAGCCAGGGTAGACGAGCAGCTCTCGCTTCGGCAACATTGTGGTGTGGTCCTGGCTCGCGACGAGAGATCTGTAGCGGAGAGGGATATGGATTGGTTGCACGAGACCGGGAACGGTCAAACGTTGTGCCTTGAGTATAGTCATGGCCAGACCAACGAGCCGCAGACAACCCCCATCCATCATTTTCCCGTCTGCTGCCAGCGTTCCCATAATGATTATTGGAAGCCCAAGAGTTGTCGTTAGTTCGAAGGGAAGTAGCGGAGGTAGTGGTCCCGACCCAACCGTGACGCGGCTCGTTGTGGCGGGAGTAACCACTACTATGAGGAGAAACTGGGAACATAGCACTGGCATTACCACCAACGAAGGGGCTTTCGATGGGGGAGGGGGTGCCGCTATGGGTGGTCGCCCATGAAGGACTGGTCGAAACGTCGATGTTATATGGTTCTTCTTCGACTTTGCATTCGACGATGTCCGCCTCTTCGTTTTCTCTACTATGGAGTCAGTCTTGACCAATTTTGACATAATAAAACGTTACATCAAACGTGAAGTACCGTCCGGTGCTTTCTCGACTTTGGGCGGTACACGAAAGTTGGTCGAGCGGAATAGGCGAGGGTCCATTGTGAGCGCCATGATATCAGGGCGGCATGTCGGGCGCTAGAAGAAAGCTAAGAAATGGTGCTGAGCTACTAGATGCGGCCACACACCTTGAGCTTTCCAGAATGCTGGTCGGATGCGGTATAGTACGAGATGAGATGGAGGTCTGAACCCTCGATAGTGACCGTTATTGTCTTTTTGATGAGACCATTTGGTTTGAAGGTGCCGTGCTCGCTGGCCTGGCGAGGGTCGGGAATGGCGGTAAGTGGATCGCGGTTGTGCGTTGGGAAGGTCGGACGCACACTCAGAGCCCGCGATGTTTCGTCAGAAGGGTAGAGTCGTTTTTGGCTTTGTTGAATGAATTATCAAGGAATTATTTGAAAAAAAACTTCAACGTACCTGCCCCGACTATTTGTGCGCTCATTGATTTCACGATAGACCTGCACTTAGCGTTAGACGAGAAAGAAAGAGAGAAGAGACTCACCAAGAAGTTGCCCACGATACGCGACGGCGACCAGAGTAAACCATCTTGACGACGTGAGTTTTGTGATGTGAAGGTTGAGAAGAAAAAAGAACGGACCTGTCCATCGCTTGATGCCGCTCTCCTCAACGCTAAAGACAAAAACTGCACCACTTTTGATCATCGACCTCCGTTCCGCATCGTTTAGTCGGCGAGTGATTCGCGGTATTATCCCCTGACGGGCAGCGTGTATTAGTCGGAGTGCGTTCATTGTTGTCTCGACTGCGCCATAGAAGGGCGGGATGTCGCTTGGCTGGGAGGAGCTCATTGAATGGCTAAGTTTGAGGTTGTCGGACAAAGAGCAGGTAGGGAATGTGAAGCTTATGTGTACGCCCACGCAACTGGCCAGCCTTTAAGTATTGGCGTTTGTGGATCTTCTTAACCCATCACGGTGCAATCTAGATTAGCAACTCAGCAGTGCCGGCAGCAGGTCCCATTCGAGTATTCGACTGTCTTTCGTCGCAATAATTAGTCCACAAACAGTTGCAGCACCGTTCAGGTCCCATTTCCGTTATTCTCTCGTTTACAACGTCGATTGAATTTTAAGTCTAGACTTTTACATTGAGATCTGCTCCCCAATGCCCCGTCTATACCGGCATTCCATGCTGTTCCGATTCGCCAACCCATGTAAAACTAGTCATCGTCTTCATTTCACCCAAACCGAAGCCCAAGACGCCGTGTGTCAACAACGTCGCGCGGACTGAACCGACTCGCATCCTTCTCGACTTCGAGCTGCTAGCTATCGATGCATTTCGCGCTGCAGACCACCTCACGGTCCGAGGGTCCAATTTTACTCGCCTCAATTCATGTCTACGTTACACGATCCATGACACTTGCCTACTTCGGCGGATGGACCGGGAGTTTTTCGACATCGGCAACCTCGGCCAATCTCATTTTGTCCAATTTCTTGTTCAGGGCTGGCTGTGTATGTCTAACGAGGGAAAATCAGAGATTATAAAAAAAAAATCCGAAATAAATCAAAACGCACATTGTCGGACAAAGACGCGCCTCATCTTGAACGCGTTTGCAATAAGCACTGTACAATAAGCTTCGCGACGCAGTTCACGAGCTGGCGCCGCATCGTGGATGGCCCCAAGTTGATTGTTTTCTATCGATCGCACCTCTATTCGAGACGTGGCCACAGGGCCAGAGTTGTGGGTTCTGTATTGGCCCAGACAGCCAATATGTCGGGTTACCGGGTCGAGAGCCGCCAGTCGTTCAAAGGACGGATAACGGGTCAATGGCGAATACCGGCTGCCTGACTTCAAAATAAGATGCCTGTTAGCAAGACCATGTGAACAACGACCTGGAGATAGCAAGCGATGCGGTGCGAAAATGATCTCGACAGACGAGCCATATCCAGCCATGCAGTACGGCCTACGCCGTAACCTCGCCACATTCGTCTCACGCGAGCTTTGGAATACTTGGGTCGTGGGTTTTCCGGTGGATCAGCGCACTCTTGGGGCATAAGGCAACCCATTGCATGGAAGGACAGCCCTTCTGGAAATGACGAGCTTTCATATCGTACTTTATGAAACCCTGTCAGTGAAGTCAGCCCACAAGTCGTTACGGCTTCGGTCTGGGACGAGTACAGAATAGATCGAGGAGTCGTACCTCGGAGATAGGTGCCGCAAACGCGTGGATTTCCTAGCAGCAAATAGTGTACACGCCGTTGCTGCTTTCCTCCGGTGGCTCGGGACAGAAGGATGGTGCCATGAGTAGTTGGGCGTCTCTGCGAGGAGTTAGCTGGCAAAGAAACTCAACCTTTCGCCTGCTTCAGCCCATTTGCGTGCGCTCCAAGGCCCGGGCGCGATCGCTCCCAAAGAGAGAAGCAATTGAAAAGAGTACACCATTCTTGAGCTTGCAGTGGCTTCCAAGCCGCAAGGAGGGCGGTTTTCCACCGTCAAAGCGGCATACAACGGCCCAAGGACGTCCGAGGTTATCGATGGAAAGTGTAGTGTGGCTTGATCTGCGCGTATTTTCAGACATGGAGCTCCCCGAGCCCGAGGACAAGAAGGGAGTACAATAATTTCCAACTCTGCACCGAAATCCTCGCTCGATCGCGACGATCCTTACGGGGAGTGTTGAACCATTGATTTGATGTGTATGGTTGAGCAAGGATTAAGGAATCGAATAGGAAGCGTGAGACGCGCACTGAAATGCGGTATATTTGAGATCAGACACCGAGTTAAGAGCGGTGATTGCAACCATCGTCGCAACTCTCTGGGTGAATGGGATGCGCTCCATGCAAATTGTGTCAGCCGCCTTGCGCCCCGGCAAGTTTGTGACAGCGCCTCGGCCAAGAGAGAGGTCGTTTGACTTTCTGAAGTAGTAACTTGAAGTTGGCCGGGGGAAAGGATCACCGGACACCTGGGTCTTCTGCCACCTTCATTATGGAGAGATCCGGACGAGTTCTGCATGATATGTTTTGGGCTAGCGCGATATTTGGACTCTAGCTGAGAACTAGAGAGTGGTTATCGGCTGAATATCGGCAATGAGGTTGTTACCTTGGACCAAATGATGCGCCATCAATGTTAAACTTATCACAATAAGAAAGCTCTGCCAGCAATGCATTGCCGTTCGACTACTACGCGCGCTCCTGGGCGTCGTAGAGAGTGCGTGGGCTAAAAGTTTGTTCGACACCCATCATTATGCGGACCGATTCGTCGGAACATAGGTTTCCGAGAGGTTGGCGCGCTGTAAGTCCATGTTGGAGTCGCAACCAGATATGGAAATCTGGAGCCGGACGTGCAGATAAAAGGCTATTGACGCACGACGATCCCGGTGGCAGTACAAGCTTCGAAATTTAAAAGCCGAATGTAGGCGCAACCTGCATTGATGGCAAAGCATAGAGCTACGTAGCTATGACGAATGCTATGGGCAGCCTGTTGGGTCCCAGTCTGTTACCAGCCCTGCATGATGCTCAGCATGGGAGAGAGACAAAACTGTCGTATTGTCACCTTCATCTAATTGATCTAAATCAAGCATCTCCCCTTCTTCAAGCTCGAAGTCAAAAATGTCGAGGTTCGCGACAATCCGAGTCTTCGAGGAGGACTTGGGAATCGCCACATAGTTCTGTTTTATAGTTGGATTTTCAAACTCGGAGATATCGAAAAATTGCCTTTTGAAGAGAATAGCGCAAGAGAACCTGAGCAGGTTGTTTGTGGTATTTTGTCGCTATTTTCTGGATGACTGGATGGTTGAATCGCAAGCCGCGAACGAGAGGGGCCCATGCCTGAGTTACCAAGTGAGTGTTATGCGATATGGGAATACGAAAAGCACTCACCTCCAAGGCGATATGGTTTTCTTTGCAAATCTTGACAATCTCTGTGCGGGCCATGAAGGGATGGAGGTCGATCTAACTTTATGTCATGAGCGATACGATCCCTAGGCGGGTACACACACCTGGTGGACAGTTGGAATTGCGAGGCCCATATCGAGAATTTCTTTTAGATGGCGGACCCCAAAGGTGCTAACGCCGATACTCCTCAGTTTTCCCTCCTTTTGGGCATCACAAATGGCTCGCCAACACTCTGTTCGAGCGGTTTTGCCACCAATGGGTCCATGTATAAGATAAAGGTCGATGTAACCGAGACCACACTGGTCGAGTGAGAAGTCGATCGCTTTGAGGGTAGCATCGTATCCATCGTTCAATTTGAGCTTTGTCGTATAAAAGATGGCAGAACGAGGGGTGCCTGTCGACTTGCAGAAGTCCAAGATGGCCGTCCCACATTCCTTCTCATTCTCATACCAGGTGGCTGAATCCTTTGCTCGCTATCAGTCCAATTTACGCGCAGTCTATTTCTGAACTCACAATATGGCGATATCCTGCCTGTTTCGAGACTCAATTGGCTATGGCGGCAGTATTTGGAAGACAGATACGCACTTCGAGGGCCCATGTCACGGCATTGTAGGCTTCCATGCCATCCAGCTCGTATGTTCCTGAGAATCGGGGTGGCAAACGGCGACTTGGTTTAGCAACATCGCTCCTCACCGAAGCCAAGCAGTGGAATCCGATTGCCGTCCGACAGCTGTGAATGGTCAGACGGTGTGAATTCACGGGCGGACTTGTGTTAACGGCGGACAAGACTCACTTCGAGAGTTGACTGTGAGCTGAGGACCATGAGGGCAACTTGGAGAAGATGACGGAGTTGTAGAGATTCTCTCTCTAAACAATCCCACGCTGCCATACCTATTGATCGTGGTTGACTCTGACCGTCATCATCTTCCCCGCCCAACGCGACGACCGACTTGTCTTTGAGCTGGAAGTCCCGCGTTCATAAACCGACCTTGGTCAAAACCTTAATTCGGCGTTGCTTCCTGATGTCATTCGCACCTATTGCCGCTTTACCTCACCTAGTACTCTTGCCTTATCGGGCTGCCTCTGGGGTTCTCCCCCGCTATTTTGTCCCACTACACACACAAATCCGATCCTTCCCTACGACGATCGTCACCTTTCTGAATGAAGAAGGAATATCGGCTCACGCAATCCGGTGTTCAATGCCCCTGCCGTCAAGTTTCAAATCCATCCAGCCAGCCCGAAATCGACTGTCCGCCGACGGGACCCTCTGAATACCGCGTCGGGCAGCGATATTTAGAAATAATACTCCCAACGGTTCCGTGGTGTTGGCCACGCGGCTTGTGAGTTTCGTAGAAGAATCAGTCGTTGCTGCAATGTACGGGGTCAAATCGTCGGAATGGCCTATCCAACTGGTGTGATTCGGTTTGAAAAGCTGGCTCTAGCCGCTTCGCTGGTGGGCTTACTTATCAGTCAGGCAACGCCGTGCGTCAGGAACTCTGGTCAAAGTAAACTTTTTAAAGTTGTTGCCGTTGTGTTGACGCGTTTGTCTTCCGCTCTCGTAACACACTGGCAGAAGAGAGTTTTCTACGTCGAGTCTCAGCACTGGTGTGGCTGGATCGTGCGCGTTCTGGGCCAGATGTAGCACCGGTGGCTTTTTGTCGGGGCCGCAGAGAATTTTTCATCCCCGTATGGACTGAAGAGCTATATCGCGTCGTTCACATAGAGATTGAGTTGACCGACCAATGGGATCCTGAGCACAATAAAATGTGTTATCGACAACCTCGGAGAATCGCACCGGTCCGGGAGTGAGAGAAGAAATGACAATATTGAATGAGACGGGATATTCCGAGTGGAATAGTTGTGGAAGATGCCAACGGTAAACTCCTTATAGCACAGAAAACGCGGAGAGTTGCCATCAAGAAGGGATTGTCACTAGCACGTGTTGTGTGACACTCTTCCTTGTCAACAGCTCGCTCGCCCAACAACGCTCGCCACATGTCGTCTGCTTTGCCGCTCAAAGTCACACCCGCTACCCCCGCAAAGATGGCAGACGACCGCGACAATAAGACACCTATCCCACCCGTAAAAACACCGGGAGCCGCAACCATACGGCCGTCCGATATTTCAAGTCCACACGAGCTAACAGCTTTCGTGCGTCCCATTTCTTTCTTACACACCGATACCTAGCACTTATAACTTCTTTTTCTACAGGTTGAGACCCTGCTTGAGCAGTTAGACTCCAAATTTGATGAGATGTCCAGTCAGATCCTCGACCGCAGTTCGTTTTGCGCTACTTCCTCTATGCTTTGTGGTTCATTGAACTTCTTTTAGTGAATCAGATGTCTTCACGCGTCGATGCTCTTGAAGCCTCCATACAAGATATTATCAACGGCGACATTGGCGTTCCTCAATCACCTTCACCAATCCCGAGCCGGAGAAGTACCAGCACCAGCGAGGCATATTAGACCGTATGCATCCCTGCTGCACACAGTTTGTGCATTTTCTTATGGCCTATGGTGTGTTTTTGTCCTTTGCCTCCGAGGACAAAGTTTGAGACCCACCACCACAGCCATCTCCATCTTAAACATCCGCACCAAAGCCCATAAAATGCATGTCCTTCACTCCACATCCCACCCTCTTTGTTCTTCCCCGCAACTATCCAATATGAGCAAACTGATAAAACTCATCCCTCTGCCTACATCTCTCCGACGTCGTTCAGGCGTTCCATCCACCAAATCAAATCGACTTTCGTCCCTTCCTCCTATAACAGTACTTCCCGGCGTTTTGGACATTTCACAAGCCGCCGTAGACGCACTTGGGGAGCTGGAAGAGGACGCCTCTCAATCAGACTTAGCGCCGGAATGGCTAGCTTTTGACGACTCTACGCTCGATTCTCTTAGCTTGACGACAGGGTCTTCGTCTCGGCGACCTTCGAGTTGTACGCTTCCACAGACCCCGTTACCGTCCCGAGCTCCTTCCTGTTCTTGTCGGCGATTACCAGTCCCGCTCCCGATACCACCGATGCCCAAAACACCTTCCCCGCGACCACCAACGCAGGCGAATCAATTTGTCTTGGACTCTGTTAGGGACATGGGTATCCAACCTTCGCTGCACCGAAACCAATCGTATCCGCTTCCCAGACATCAGGAGCTGGACGTTGGTCGCAAAGCCTCTTTCGCTGATAGTCTGGCAAGCTCGGCCGACGAATCACTTATGGAGGCCTTCCCCCTCCCTCCCCAAGCGACATTCACCAAACGAATCTCACCTCAGGCGCTCCTCCGACAAGGGGTCAATAGGCCGAGGGTCTGTGAGGAGACTGGGCCGTTGATCATCGTGAAACGTGATTCGGGAATGAGCTCCGGGCGAAGTAGCGTCGCAACAAATCGCAAATCGGAGAGTACGATGGATGATATCCTCCAATCACTCGACGATGTTTATGCCGCCTTCAAGAATGGTGCTCCTTCTTCATCAGAAGGACTTGCCGACCTTGACATGGCCCTTCCGCCAGTCATTGTCGATATTCGTGGAACTTGGCCGGTCGCGGCGAACACGCGTACGCAAACTGGACCCTACAGTTTCCTCGTTACGCGGGTGCAGAGTCTGCAAAGTTTTGGCACGTTTGCTTCAGGATCGAGGTCGATGCCCGATCTCGTCAACGGGGCTTTCTGAGAAGGTGGGCTGGTGGCGTCGGCGTGGAGGTCTTGTGTTTGCCTGTACTGTACATCTGTCTACTTGACTTGTTTTTTTCCCTATCTTGCACACTCATAATGCATTGAATTACTCGTCGCAAAGTGCTCCGCAGGATGCACGGCCATTCTGATGAGAAGGGCAAACGAGCGCTGGATGGGGCTGTCGGCCGAACTGAAGACGGCTTCGGCGATTGGACTGAGAAGCAGCAGCGTAAAAGAAGCAATGCATTTCCCGCTGAAGATCGCGAGGTACAAGGAGGTGGGTGGACAAAACTAGAACACTTGCTTGTCGAAAATTAACTGCCAGTGCCTTGCCTGATTATCTTCGCGACTTCCTTCTTCTGCATCTGCGTTGCCACGGGGGGTCGCGTTCCCCAGACGGGTGCATTGTGGGACCAAGATGGAGCGCTGACAAGTGTTTCTCTCTCTCTCTCGCTTTCGTGTTACTCGCTATCCTCCGCCGATGCAAGGGGGCGGGCTGAAGAGGGTGTTTGGTGCTCTGTGACTGTGACTGATGCGACCTTGTCCCGACGACGACGACGAGTGGCAGCGCCATGAGCTCCTCGTCGCCTGCCGCCTCCACCGCGTCGTCCGCCAGCTCGGAATACGTGCCGAGCGGTAATGGTGAAGCGTCCCCACACGTGCTCCTGCCTGCCCCCTCTCCCCAAAAGCTTGTTGGCAAGAGTCGGGTGCGTGGCGCTGGAAAAGAAGTGCCTGCGACGAAGGAGGTCCTCCCGGGCACGCTGACGCTGGGGGTGCACAAGCTCAAGGCGAAGCCAGTGGGTTTTTTTTTATTAAAAAAAAATCTTTCATGGGGCTGATGTGGCGTTGCAGCCGTACGTTTATGGCACCGCGCAGGAACTGCTGGCTGCTCTGCGGGCTGTGTGTCTCGGGGACGCGGAGGTCGATTTCAGTGGGTCGTACCCCCTGGCTGAAGAGGATCCGGGCGTGTCGGACAAGCAGCGGGTGCAGATCGTGGTGAACGATGTGTGGCGGGCGACGGGGTACAAGTTCACGTACGTTTTTTTTCCTCTTCTACTTTTTCTTTTTGTTCTGATTTTTCGTAGGATCAAAGACCACCCACCGATGGCGGGCACGAGTGGGCACAAGACGAGACTGTGGTGCGCTCAGGACGCGGGGCGACGGCAGTCCTCGAAGCGGCCCAACGCAGACGCCAAGTCGGGCAATCGACGCAAGTATGCTTGTCGGAGCAGCTTGATGGTCGCGTGTGCCGCCAATGAACCACAAGGGCGGTTGATTACTGTCCGCCTTCATCACCATTTGCGGCACGAGACTTTTGGCGAGGACCCGCCGGATATCGCGACTTTGTTGGCGATGGTGGCGGAGCCAGCGATTGCAACAACGACACCACCCGTTTTTGGCCCATCGCGTGCTTTGGATACCAGACCACCACCTCTTGCCCGAACCCCGAACCCATCTCCTCCCGCTCCCATTTCTGAGACGCGTCCTTCCAGATCACCGCCTCTCGCCCGACCCCCAAACCCACCTCCCACCTTTGGTGCTCCGATTTTCGTTCTACCACCACCCGCATCTCTCTTACCTCACGCACTATTACTCCATCCCCACCGACAGCTATTCCCTCCCCCCATGCGCCCACCCCCAACGCCCGCCGAGTTCCAGCGCCGAATGACAGAGCACGTGCGGCGGCTGCGGGGAGTTTGCGGCGGGGCTCGAGTACCAGATCCAGTTTGGTGATCACCGTATGCTGGAGGTGCTCGAGCGGGACGCGGCGCCGTTTATGCAGCTGATGGACGAGTGCTTGAGAAGGGAGGGACGGACTTGAAATATTTTTACGTGTATTTTGCTTTGCTGGATTTGGTGGTTTGTTTATTGTGTATTTCTAGGGCATTGGATTGGCTTGTGTCTATAGTGTATCTATTATCAATCGCGCAACGTGTGTTGTCGTGGACAGAACTCGCAAAGGATGGCAGAGAAAAAGAAAAGAACGGTCATCTCGGCCTTCGTCATCGATCGATCGCAACCCACTGTCCACGCTGGCCAGCTGTCACTCAATTAGACCTTCCGGCACGCATCTGGGGCGGGGCTGTCGCGGCAAGGGATCCGGGGCACAGGACCGAAACCGCCCCGTCCTCCCCCCTCGGCTGCGCGCTCCCCGGCCGGCCACCTCTGTGCGTCTCCCTCTTCCCCTCCTCTCCCGGCCTGATCACATCTGGCAGATTCGACATTCGACTTTCGACTTTCGACACGGCCACCGCCAACATTTGCATCACGTTCTACGACCCGCCAGAAACCGTCCGTGCAGTCGGTGTTCGCTGGGGACTGGCAGGGCGGTGTCCTGGGAAAACACTCGTCCAGCGTCGGTCGGCGGCGCTTCTCCCTATCACGTAGTTTGCGGGCATAGGCGCATTGCGCGCTTTACTGCTGCACGTTTCGGGCACTCGGCGTGGCTCCGGGATCCCCTGCAAATGTCCGCCACCTCCAACTCGTGTGGAGGCCTCAAAATTGGCCATCAACATCGTCGGCGACGCGTCTCGGGTATGTCCTTTTCCTGCTCTGCCCTTGCTTCACGCGCTTACTCGACACCAGGTTTCGGCCCCTGCGCTCTTGTTATCCATTCGGCACCTGCGATGTTCTGGCATGCTTTTTCCCGGCTTGGTTTCCCACGTGGTTTTACATGCCCGGGTTTTGATGCCGCCAGACGCGCCGGGGATGTCAATGTACTATGTAGTCGGTAGTTGGAATCCAAAAATTGCTTGTTTTGTATCCCTTGTCGCGTGTCTAAGTGTCTGGAATAGCTGCTTCTTTCTTAACAAGTAAGTTTGGCTCTGAACTTTGAGTTCTTTCTTTCGTTCACGTTTGCTTTTTTTGCTTTGGAAGAGGAACGATCACGTGCAACAGTACCAACTTTTCCGAGGCAAGTTTCCGACGCGTTTCCAAAGCACAATCACGATTTTTCTCATTGCAGGTCTACACTATTCGAGATACAAAGCAAGCACGATACAAAGCAAGCACACATACCAAGCAGTTCATTCTTCAGCAAGAGGACAAACACACCATTTCTTCAAACGCGACTACCGGCACTAACATTCAAGTTTTTCTCGCGCTTCGCAAGCGCCGCGACGCCCTGATCGAGCGCGGTGACCTCGAGCCACGTGAGCCCCGCGTGCTTTCTGATTACCGCCGCCCGCGGGTCCTCCTCCTCGTCCTCCTCGTCGGCGCTGGGGCGGTGCCACGGGTCCCAGAACATGCGCTGGAGCGCCTGTCGACGGTCGTTGGGCGCGAACTTGTACAGATGGCGCACGGCGGCGAGGGACGTCAGGTCGTATTCTGCGAAAAGCGCTGTGTGTGCGGAGAGGTCGAGGGAGAGCTGGGAGAGGAAGGCGGTCAGGTCGGGGGAGACTGGGCCCGGCGGTATGGGAGATTCGTTTGCGATTGCGGGTGGGTTTGGGGGCTGAACTGGCGCTGGAGCGGGAGGGGCGGAGACGATTTGATGCTCTTCAAATTCGGTGTTGGTGTTGTTGACAGACTGTGAAGGAATGAGATGTTGAAACTTGACGGTTGGCGAAGCATACCGTAGCAGACACATCCTTTTCTTTCTCTTTCTTCTTCTCATTCACGTTCCGGACGGGTGCATTCGCAGCAGGCACTTCTGGCACTTTTGTCTTTGACAGCAACGGGTTCCGATTAAGAGGCCTTGGAGCCGGGCGCACCGGCGCAGTCTGGTTACAGTTCAGTCAGTTCTTTGTGTCGTATTTTACGCACCTGCAGTTTTTTGCGCGCTTGTTCTAGGTTGAGGGCAGGCTGCATGACGCTTCCGGACGCGCGGGTGCTGGGTCCGTCCAGCTTTTGAGTCGGACCAATGTTGGCAGAACGGACAGCGTTATTTGGCGCATCGATTTCTTCAAGTTCAACATCGTTGTCGACGATGTCCGTCCGAGGCAATGCGGCTTTTCGCGTATTGAATTTCCGGGCGGTTGTCTTCACAGGCTCTGACGTTGCCTCTTTCCTAGTCCTGACTCGTTTCTTGATACTCTTCAGCTCTATTGCCACAGAAGGAAAAGGACTTACGTCTGGCCGCCCAATGAACCTCCTCCGCCCAGGCTTCCGTTTCGCCGGCGTGCGTGCCCGCTTCCTTGTTGCGGTCAGGCTCTGCTTCAGCTCATACTCCTCTTCCTCGCTACTTTCCTCTTCATCGCCCGCGCCATTCCCTTGGTCCCCGCCCACCAATGCCGCCAGCCTCTCGCGATCCACCAGCGCCTCATCCCTGCTCACGTCGTCCGGGTTGAGGCCGAGCTCATTGCGCTGGATACGCCAGAGTGACGCGGTGCTCCCGCGCTTCATGCCGAACACGTCGTCCGCGATGTCGTTCAGCGACCAGTTGTGTTTGTTCCGCAGGATGCGGCACAGTGCGCGGTCCGCGCGGTCCAGCCCCGCGACGAGACGGACGTCTTCCGACACACTGCACAGGTCACGTTACTGCAAAAGAGAGAGGAGGGGGGGAGGAGGAGGACGCACGGAGAGCCGCGGGCGCGGGCGGGTGGGCGGCCGAGGCGGGCGCCGGTCTGCTTTTGCGGCTTGCGGGGCTTGTTAGGGACCGTAGCGTCGGGAACTTCGGGGTGGTCCGTGTTGACATCCGCCGTGGGCTCGGGATCGGGGTCAAGCTCGTCGGCCTCTGCCTCTTGCTCAGGTGCAGACGAAACAGCGCCGACGTCGAGCTGGACGTCCTCCTCTTCCGTCTTTTCCACGTCGAGGACTACCGTTTCCGCCATGAAGGTGAAAACTTGCAGAGTTGGAAGGGGGAGGAAGGAAGAAAGTTTGTGCAAGGCCCCCCGTTTAACTGGACTTGGGCTTGTCCTTGTTTGGCCGCGCACGGGCCAGGCTGGACATTAGCCTTTTCGCGCTAGAAGCGCCGACTGCGGGCGTATAAACTTCAGAGCTTAATTCGGCGGCCTTGAAAGAAGCATGCCATCATTGCCATGCCATCCGCAGCGCTGGCGGTGGAGAACCGGGGAGTGCCGTGGCCATACAACGAGGACGACTTCTCGTGAGTTTCCGCGCCTCTGACAGTAGTAAGTACACCAGCACCTGAGTGCTCGTTAAAACGTACCACGATGCGTATCGTCACACCGTGACCCGGATACAAGTGTGATAGAACAACACACCGGATTTCGCACAATATATCTCGCGGCTTGCGATGTGTGACGACTCACAGGGCTCTGTTGACAATTCTAGGGTGTTTCTACTGGCAGACAAGTCCAAGATGTGGGTGCAGAGTTATTCTGCCTTCCGATTGTTATGTATCTGTACCAACTTGAAAAAATACTATTCCATTCAACTGGATGAATGCAAAACCTTTGTTTTAACCATCATCACCGTCCCGCCGCTCTCTGCCTTGAGCGTTACTCTACGGCACTGGACAACATTCTAATTCTATTGCACTTGAAATACTATTCAACTGGACTTGTCAAACCCTGGCTTCAAAAACCATTTTTCTTTGCCCTTTAAACCTTTTATTTTGGCCCTGGTTGATAAGATAAGACAAGGAGGAGATAAGATGGACAATAAGATGCGTGGAGTTGGACATGAGGCAAACAGCACGTAAAGGCATGGCTAAAGTATGATGTCATTGCCTCTCGTACTAGGCATGGTAAACATATGGTAGTAGTGTATATAAGTAGAGTAGATTTCTGTGGAACTTATATAGCATTCAAAAGCATCCCAGTACACAATCAAATATATACTAAGATTCTCCTCACCCCGAAGGGATCATCAAAGCCGATCCAATCGTCTCCCAAAAGCCAAAGTTAGGGTACGAGGCAAAATAAACAAAACCCCGCTCGACATATCCACCACCAGGAAATGCACAACTGCACTTACGCCGGTTCGCCTTTGCAGCTTGCTGGTCACGTCGTGTGGGGTTGGGAAGCTCTCTAGGTAGCAGGCTACCCCGTCATCAGGACCTTCCGACCCACTAAAACCTGGAGCTCCGCAACGGGCTTGGTCCAATCCGCCGGGAGTGTGTCTGAGTTTAAAATTAACCCCCGCCATGTGTTCAACATGAGTGAGGGGGCCAGGGCCTTCTTCCCCCATTTTTGTTTGTTTGTCAGCTGACGGTCAAACTCGAGGTGCAGGTCAAGTTGCCTGTACCATTGGTTATGGATTTCCCTCTTGCTCACAGGATCTAGGCCATCTCTCTGGATGCGGTGTTCCAGACGTAGCTGCCATATTAGGTACGCTGACTCTGACACCACAATTCAGAATAGACGTGTCAGCGATTTGTTGACTTTACCGTTCGTGTTATATTTCTTGACTGCGCCACAAGCCAGGATCTCCCCAAATGTCACCCTCGTGATGCTCCCTGTCCTCTTCTACCAGAGCGCCGACGCCAGGTCCCAGATATCATGCTGCCCAGTCGTTGGGCACTCAGTGAGGATATGTTGCATGGTTTCTTTGGTATGGCATGACAGGCACATCTCCCGCGTGCTATACCTGGGGATGTGCCTCCAGTACTTGCCGACTTTGTACCCATTGTGTAAGATCATCCACATAAAGTAGCGGATGTTGCGGCTGAAGACCTGGTTCCTTGTACCTTTCCAGATTAGCCTCGCCGTTGGCAGGTTACCTTTTGCGTCAGCCGCCGCCTCGCAGGCCATCTTCATGTTGGCTGTGGTGTCTGGGCGGCTGAGTTTCCTTTTGTATGCAGGCAGCGCTTGTTTCCTCTGCCTCATAAGAGTCCGTTCGACAACAATCGCTGCCAGCGGTTGCTAAGATAAAAGATGTATTTTGCGAGATAATTGATTGTCCGAGGTCTTCCGGAGTTTGACCCGACGTGAGATTAAAGATGATCAGAGTGAGATTGAATGTGATAACAGGAAGATTAGGGCCGATAACGATGAGATGTAGCCCGATAACGATGAATCCAGGCCTGGTAGAGAGTATTCTTCACTCTACTCCTCCCTCCATGTCCACGATAATTCGGGACATTATTATTTCCCAGCTGCAGCAACTCCAGGGTGTAGCAGCAGTTGTCATACAGCTGGTAGCTTTCACACTCACTCTTTACAGCAGCAATGCCTATTGGGCACAGCCTTACCACACGTCTCAAATGACTGGGCGAGACTGGGTACATGAGCTAATGGCTGGCCACCCTGAACGCATCTATAATGAGCTTGGGGTACATCTTCATGTCTTTGCTGGCCTGTTGATTGAGTTTGCGGGGCATGGGTTATTCAGACTCCAGGTTTGTCTCTCTTGAAGAGCAACTGGCTATATTCCTCTATATTTGCCGGACTGGTCTCGCCTGTCGACACGTTGGTGAACGTTTTCAAAGATCAAATGGAACTATAACAAGGTTTGTGGTAGCTTTTGCACAATGCTTCTAGCTTATTACTTATCTAGATACTTCCGAACTATTCTCACTGCATTCTCCGAAGGAGTATTCTACAACAAATGGGTAACCTTACCCACAGCTGCTGATGCTCCCGCCAAGTATTTATTAAAGCACGAGGGCAAGCTATGGCCATACTTCCGCAACTGTCTTGGTGCTCTCGATGGTTCACACATTGCATGCACTTCTTCAGAAGCCGATCGTGCCAATACACGCAACCGGAAGGGCTTCCTATCTCAAAATGTCCTGGCCGTCTGCAGCTTCTCTTTACGGTTCATATATATTTTATCGGGCTGGGAAGGCTCTGTTTCCGATGCGTCCCTCTATTCCGATGCACGTCTTCATGACTTCCCAATTCCGGATGGCTTCTACTATCTTGGTGATGCTGGATTTGCCCTAACCGCAAAACTGATTGTACCTTTCCGCAACACTCGCTACCATTTATGGGAATTGTAAGGGGAGCATGTGATGTGACAGCTGTGACTGATCACGTGACTGGTCCGTGCGCAGATAGCCCTGTACTTAAGTAGTTGGCTGTGGGGCTGTTCCCCCGGCTTTGGTATCAACTAGGCACCTGGACCCTCATCCCCTGACAGGAATGGGCTATGGGAAATCAACGGTATATTGAGCAATTACCATTGTTCCTACTCATTGATACACATAGACCACAAAACCGGGAGGAGTTGTTCAATCTTCGACATGCTCAAGCCCGTAATATCATTGAACGGATTTTTGGCGTGATTAAGAAACGCTGGCGAATTCTTACTATTCCACCAGCATACCGGATGAGCCTACAGGCCCGTATACCTCCTGCTCTGGCTGCGCTTCACAACTTCATTATCGAGACTGATCTGGAAGACCGTCTTGATCCAACTGTCCGGGATGACCCCAGTCCTGGATATGATCCGCGTGCTGATATTGGTGTCTGCAGCAAACCGGTATGACGAAGAAGAATCAGAGGAAGGACGTGTGTTGAGGGACAGAATTGCGGATGAGATGTGGGAGCAGTATGAGCAATACATGGACCTTGATGAATCAGAGGACGAGACAGAAATCGGTGAGCCTGATGAAGAGGGCTACCAGTCTGCAATGAACGATGAAGAAGATGACAATTGAAACTAATTATGATTACGGTCACTGCTATAGTACTTAAATATTAAGAGCTTTCTTAACCCACTTTTTGCGCATCACTTCATTGTCCGCCCACGCCAAGTACCGGTCAGCCTTTTTAACATCGTCAAACACCTCATCCAAGTCCAATCGCTCATCTTCCGTCAACCACTCCTCCTTCTTAGCCAGTTCCAGTGCGTTATGACGTCGCTCTGGACTTGCTTGCGAGGCCAGACGGTTAAGGGAGTCACAAAGCCGTCCTGACTGCTCAGAATAGCTCTTGGTAAAGTCACCGAAGACGGTTGTAAACCCTTCGATGGCAGCGCCCGAGCGTGTGTGTTTATGAACTGTTGATGGTGGAGCGCTGGTAGAGTCGCTTTTACGCTTCTTAGGACGTGGAGCAGGCGTGGTAGGGGGTGTTTTATCGTCAGTGAGGTCAATGGACTCATTCTCCTTATTGTCATGGTCGTAGAACAAATCGTCATTGTTCTGGTGCGCAAAGTCCTGTTCCATCTTCTTTTCGTCCCATTCAGCAGAGGATTCACGCTTGTTTGGTGAAGAGAGAGAGTCGAAACTAGGTTTGGGGGAAAGGAGTGGTTGGTTGGCATCATCGAGTCGGAGTGGGGCAGGAGTCCCAAGGCCGAGCTGTCCAGTCCGGGGACGAAAGACGCTGTCACCCTTTCGCTTTTGCGGGGTCTAAGCGGGCAACAACATCATAGACTGCCCAGCCTGCATTCCGGAAGGGCTCGCAGTTAGGACGGCTGCGAACATCCTCCTCGAATAGCGCTATCTCCTCTGGTGTGATTGGATTGACACCGAGAATATCGTCCCACTTGCCACCAGAACGTGTCTTGAGCCACTGAACAGCCTTGTAGATAGCCATGAGCTGTAATATGAAGTTAGAAGGCGTTAGAAAGTAGTGTATGACGCACCTCGGCCAATTTATCCTTCAGTGTGCCCCATTTCTTTGTCCCTCCGACCAGAATTCTCTCGTTGAGGTAGTCGGCAGCATGCCTAAAGACCTGAGGCTTGTACTTGTTGCCATCGCCGGAAGCATAGGGCTCGAGAGCTTTAACCAAGTGCACGATGCACGCAATCATATAGACAGCTTTGGTCTTCGGAGAAATGGTGCTGGCATCGAGATATGGGCCATGGTGGGTGATGGTAATATGGTTATAGTGGCGGTAGCCTATGCCGGGCTTCTTGGGCGCCATAGCCCATCGCTGACCCGTCGAAAACGCGAAGGAAAGCAAAGAAAAGACGCCAATTGCTGCCAATCAATTGTCTGACACAGAATTTGATAGCTATTATCTCGCAAAATACATCTTTTATCTTAGCAACCGCTGGCAGCGGTTGTTGTCGAACGGACTCTAATCTTGCATATCTTGGACTGTTGTCAAGTGCCGTGCAGAACAGAGGGGGTTTCTACTATAGCTAACAAGCCAGTAGCTGCCTGACACAAAAGAACACAAGACCAACCGGACCGGAGCGGACAAGGTCCGCGAGTGGAGTGAAGTCCGGTTGAAGGACAAGAGAAGAGAGGAGAGTTGTCAGAGTTGTTCCGCACAGAGGAGGAGTGCAAGTAACGTTTATAATCAAGCTAAAGTACCGTAGCTACTTTAGCTGCTTAAATACTACGAGTAAGTAGAAAGGGAAGACCATAAGTAAGTACAAGGTACGGAGTGCATATGGAAAGTAACAAGCATAAGGACATACAGAGATATAAGTAACAAGGCGAAAGACATACAGAGTACAAGGTCGCCGGAGCGACCAGATCGGATTGGGCCGGAGCCCGGCGGACCCGCGGCTCTTGACGGATGCACGGATATGACAACTGTGTCATCGCCGTTAGCTGCGCGCCCCGGGAGTTGTAGGTCCGCTGGGACTGTGGTGTCAAACTGGTCGCTTGCGTCAGGCTTTGCTGCCCCCTCGTTCGCTAGCACATCCGCTCCTTCGTTGCTAGTGTTGCCCGAGTGGCCCTTTACCCATTCAAAGGTTGTTGGCGCCGTTCGCTGACGCAGACGCGCTACTGCAAGCTTGAATAGCTTGCCATTCTCTGTTAATCAGAAGTCCTCGCTTTCCCAGCACGGCAGATGCTTCGTAAGCCCGTCGATCGTCGTCTTTGAGTCGCTGAATATTTTCAATGGTACATCTGTCGGGTTGTCTTCGACTGCCGCGATTACTGCTAGTAGTTCACCTACTTGATTCGTCTGCTTGAGGTCTGGCAGGACCCTTATGGCCCTGTTGCGGGCGTCACCTGCGCTGTAGAAGACTCCTGCTCCCGCCCGCGCGTTCGTCTGTCCATTGTTCACCGCTGAGCTGTCCGTGTAAGCAACTACCACTTCCTCGTCGGGTTCTACCTCCCCGTCTAGGTGCAGTGGGTTGTGTGTGCCTCATTCGCCACCGCAGAAGATGCGGAACACATCCTCCAGCTTTTTAGTGTGTGCCGGTAGGGGGGTGGAAGACCTCTTCTTTTGAGTTCAGATGGTTGGGTTCCCGTAGATCGTTAGGAAGCGGGTTGTCCCCTGGGTGATCCTTAAGTGGGTTCCATTTGTCTGGGAGTGTATTGAGCAGGTTGTGGGCCTTCGCAAAGCACTTGTGAGGTGACACACACCTGTCGTATTCGGTCCTTGTTGCAGTGCATCCAGCGCATCTGCAGTTTCGACGCGGCCTGTGTTGGGGGGTCTTCGAGGCGGCGCGCCAGAATTTCTGTTTTCGCTGACTGTTATTACTCGGTGGTTTTCTCTTAGGCATTTTGCCTCCATACCATTGTTGAATATACTGCGGTTAGTTGTTCTAGATTTTATGTGAAACCAAATTGGTAGTTGCCGTTGAACCTCACGCTTGAAGCACAGTCCTTCTAGCCTGACATCGTAGTTGATGGCTGCCTTCATCATCTTTGCGACATCTTTCGGGAGGGGGTTAGTGTGAGAGCCGGAGTCCCAGGACTGCAAGAAGACATGGAGGCGCATCTCTTTGTCAACAACGCCACGGTCCTCGCCCAGGATGTTCGGGGCATTAAGTTCATCTGCTGCAAATGCCCAGAGCGGGCGGTCATGTCCGGTTTTCAAGTACGATTTGAGCCACATGACCGTGATCACTTCGTTTCGCGCCACCACATGCAGCAGGTTTCTGCCCCCTTCCTCCATCGGGGCGTAGATCGTCTCGGCGTTTATTGTGCGTGACTTCTTCCTGGCCCACAGAAAGTCTCTGACCCGCCTTTCCAGTTTCTTTTCGACCTCTTCTGGCATGCCTTGGACCTTCGTCAGGTATTGTGTCATGCCGCCAACAACCATCAGCACTATAAGTCTCCTTCCTTCCATCGTCGGGTGGCCGAGCTCCCACTGTTTGAGTGCGTCATCAACCTTCTCAAGTGTTCTTGTCCAGACTGATATCTGTTGTAGGTCATTTCCTACCCACGCGCCAAGGGTTCTTATCGGTTCCTTTTCCAGCACTATCTTATGGTCTGTGGGGATCTTTGTACCGTCCACTCCATTCAGGCATCTTGTCTCTCTCAGGCGTTCCCTCTTTTCGTGCTTTCCGATGGGTATGATTTCCGTCTTTGTTTTGTTGAATTTTGCGCCTGACGCGAGACACTATTCGTCAAGTATCTCAATTAGGTCCCCGTAGTCGTCCCTGCTGGACAAGTAGACGAGTGTATCATCTGCAAACAGGGATGCAATTATCTTCTGCTCTAGTCCCTGTATTTTAATTCCTTCTAGGTCAGATTGGCGGAGTGCCTCCGCCAGTGGTTCGATGGCCAAGTCGAAGAGGAGGCAGGACAGCGGGTCTCCCTGATAGACTCCCCGCCCCACTCTGTACACCGCCAAAGGGCTGTCATCCAGTGACAGGCTGTCGCTATCAGATGGGTCCAGCAGAACACGTAGCTGGGATCTGCCGGCCCACAGATCCCTGCTATCTGGGGACATCAGCCGGAGGCTAGCTCAACAACCAGCCTGATACCAGCTGGATAGGATAGCACCAACATGTATTTATGACAGCTGCTCCTAATCTTAACTATTAGTATTGGTACTCTTCATCGCTTGTCTCATAATCCTTTGCATCGTTTTCCGACATCTGATCGCTGTCCGATACTTCCTCAGAATCACTCGAAGCTTCCTCCGCTGCCAGCGCCTTCACCGTTTTCGTTATCATTCGCTTAGTTCGTCCTGCTGCCAAACTTGCGTTTCCTGAAATTGCCACGGAGACTGCGATGGGGATGGTGTTAGGTGCCTTCAGCTTTTTCTTCTTAGGAGCAGTCTTGCGAACGCGCTTGCGTGCTGGTGCTGACTCAGCATCGGAGTTGTTGTCCTCGACTCGAGGGCGCTTAGCCCGCTGCATGGTGGTTCTCGCTGTGTCTGACTTGGGATTGCCAACTCCGTCGCGAGATTCACGGCCAGACGCCTGGTGTGATCCCGTTGCGACATTGCCCACTGCCGGGGTAACTGCTCCTTTCACTCCCTTCGCGGTACTCCGATTCCGAAGCTGGGTCGCAAACTTGATGTGTTTTGCCGAACGGTCTTCGAAGAGCGGAATTGGCGCCTAGAGATTTCGGGGAAGAGTCGCGCGAAGGAGGTGGGCATTATGGAAAGAATGGAGGTTGATGATATAGCGTTCGAGTTCTTTATGTACAATGAAATGTTCGGTCTTTTCAGATGCAACACGTTCTTGAATAATAGCACGGGAACCGGTGGCGGCACATTGGGCCGCACGACAGTCATGTTGCGCATTAAAATTGAAGCTAACATCCTAGAGTAATGACTGTTTAAGTGGAATAACAGTTGAAGAGTCCATACCTTGGTTGAAATGATGAAAAGTAGTGTTTCACCATTGGGGCGAATCAACGCCGGCATCCCATATACCGGATCGCGGACCGCCGATGTCTGGAAGCGCTCCAAACCTGCAAGGTTGGCCTCGGTACCCTTTAGGATTTCCACAACATGGGCAGGAACTACAGTCTAATTGTTGTTAGGACGCTGAATGACACTGTTGTCAAGAAAATACTGACGTGAGTTGATAGCCATGAAGCGAAAACCCAAGACCCGACACGACATTCGTCCTGCGATTGGCAAATGAAGGATTTTCCGGAGTCCCATCCCGAGTTTGAGATATAGTCACGATAGTTTGTTGCTGTTGCTGCTGTCGTCGCGCTTAATTGACGCAATATACGCTCATCTTCAGCTCGTCCGAGCGGGGTCAATTTGACAACGCCTGCAAGCGACTATTAGAAGGGGCCACAAAAAGATGCAAGCATTATACCAATATCCGCGCTTTTTTGTGGTGTCCAGCCCAAGAGTTTCTGCAGGATGGGGTGCTTCTCCAAGTAATGTTGAACACCGGTACCCGCTCGGACCCATTTCTGTTTGCCTTCTGCTGCCCAAAGTCCACCAGTTAGTCGATGTTTGAGCCCTTCCTGGTCTCCCAGCTGAAGAGCAATGTCGCGACTTGGTGCCAGATGGTTTGATAGTACTGAGCAATAGCGGAAAATGGCGTTGAAACTCTCAAATAGCTCCGTCGCAAGGCCAATGAGTGGTCCGAACTCCGTTGCGTCGTCAGCAGCATGTGCAAGCAGGTGGTATTTGATTTTCGTTACGATTTTGGAAGGATCGATGACAGCGACAGCATCAAGCAGGTTTGCGACAGCTATTTCGAGGTCGGTCTAGAGTGCAAGTGAGAATGCAGGAGATATGATAGCAGAGCGGACATACACAATACTGAGTAATATCATGAATTTCAGGGACCCAAAGTAAAGCAGAGAGCTCGCCCAATGCCCGCCATGCAGCGAGATGGTTATCCGAGACCAGATCGTGCACGTGGAATACTCCCGTCTGAACAACAGTCTTGAGTTGTTTTCCGATTAGAGAATTGGCATATTGCATGATGTACTTGGCACGAATGGCATGAATAGAAAGCCCGCTTGTCTCGGTTGCTTGTAAGCGCTGCGAATACGTTGTCTTCTCCTTGTCGGACCAGCCTGTGTGCGAGATATGCCACACGTACTTGACTGCACCAAGTAGAATGGTATGCAGGAGTTCGATGGGGGTATCGCGTGTAGGATCAAGCGCTACGGGTCTGCCTCAGTACTAGTCCGTAGTAACCCAATTAGTAAATCCATACCTGTTGTTCGCAGGAAAGCACTGTAAAGCTTCTCGTCATTCTCATCCACCCACTTCATAAGCTCTGCTTTGATGTTTGCTGCTGATCGTTCGGGGTCGGCAACACTCAGTTGCGCAAAACGGGCTTCAAGACCTATGATCCATTGCTGTGTATATGCATCTTTCACGCCCGTGTTCTGCTGGATCTTCTGGAGCTTGTCCATTGTTGTCCCACCACAGACATGCCGGACTTGGAGCCGCAACTCGTTGAGGACATATTCTTTCGGTTCGCGGAACACCAGGCTGTGGTTATTAGCTTATTATATGCCAATAAAACGGAAAGCCAACCTTGAATAGCTCTTCATACCCAACATTCGAGTGCTTGTGGGCTTTCGGACCGCCGACCTTGCATTTTCGACAGAAGTAGTTGGCTTGGCCACCCATATGAGACGACACCTCGCTCTGCATCGGGTTGTCGGAAGGACCAGCGTTACAGTAGACACAGATCTTTGTCGTGACTCCTGCTTCGTCTTGGACAGTAAGTGGTTGAGTGTGCGTGGCTCTAAAATCATCAGAAGGAATACCGAAACTATTTGGAGGGGCGCACTCGATGGCGGTCTTGAATTCACGATATTGCTCAGATATGGATGCGTTGGGGGAGGTTGATACAAAATGTACATGATACTCTTGCTGGAGAAGTTTCCGGGGAAGATTCCGATGTGTCATGTACACGTTCCAATGTTTGTTCCAGGATTTGGAACGGTTACCTGACACATCGTCACCAAAATAGTCGACAAAGCTAGTGTACATCGGACAGCCAGCTGCAATGGCACGTTTACGATTGGGCATTCTCGTAGGGTGTTCTTTCGAGAATGTCGCCACTGCTGTCATGAATACCAGAAGCATTAATAGCAAATAACGCTCACCACTCCATTGCAGCACTGCTCCAATATCGAGAAGGTCCAGATAGTTTTCCTTCATCTCCGCTGCTGCAACCAGAGACGTCTTCGAATCATCAATTTCTGCTTCACCAGCCTGCTGGAAGTGAGCCTGAGTTGCGGGAAAAGATGATGATTTCGCACCATGTCAATTTTGACACTGTAACAATCTGCGCAAACAGCGGAGTTGACGGTGACCCAGTGTATAGGAACAACGAACTGGCCGTCCTGAAGGCGGCAGAGTTCATTGACATAGAAATGTGCATTGCCCGCGTCGTACATCGGACTCAGCGCATCAAGGTCCATATTTTTCCTCCATTTTTGCGCATGCCAGATCTCGCGAATGATGCCGTCGGTAGGAATTTCTGGATAGATGCGAATGTGTTTCCGAATTTCAGGATTTGCCCAATCCTGAATGGTCAGAAGAATGTCTTCGAGAGAGGACGAGGAGGACTCACATGTGCGATAAGTGCGCAAGGATCATTCATGAAAAAAACATTGCCCAGCGGCGACAGGCAAGGGAGGGTGGGGATACCAGATTTGGCGCGAATTTCCTTCTGAACACGGTTGAGGCCTTCGAGAGAAGGAACATCTTGAGCCCCCGTTTCGCGCATGATCCACAGGATAACGCGCATGAGAGATTTCAAAACCCGAAGTTGCGGCAGGTTGTCGAGAATATCGAGAAGGAACATCTGCACCATGTTCAATTCAGAAAAAAAGCAGGGCATCTCGAAAAGGGTAGAAAACACACCGTTTTATTTGGATATGGAAAATATCCAACCGTTGGCGTGGTTCTCTGGGTGCCAGCAGTTTGAATGTCCTCCTCGGTGGTCCCAGCGACACCTGTAAGGCGAATTAGCTGAGGGAAGAAGGGGTGAGCGAAACAGACATCGACAGCAGAATCAAGTCCGTGTGTCACATGTCTGCTGTCATCCCACGTTGACGACAACACTCACCCGCGTTGGCCAGTAACTCAGCGAGGAAATCCTCCTCCTCGTCGTGTTCGTTCAGCGCGTCCTCCACCATTCCATTCCCGAACCCCAACCGTTGCGCCACTCCCTCGGGGTCCCACAGACCAAAAAGCTCCGCCTGCTGATCCAGGCGGCTGTGAGCCGCTTGACCATCTTCTGCTGTGTCCAGCCCCGCACTGAAGGCTGCCCCATCCGCCTCATACGCGCGCCACATCTCAGCCTCCGCCATACTCGGCACACCAGCGACACGCTGCATTGGGACTGGGGCAAGGATAGGCTGGGGTGTTTGTCGTAGCGCCAGTCGGGTGCAAGCAGCCAGTTGGCGCTCCAACTCCAGGTCCCTCAGTCGCTGCTGGCCGGCGCTGACGATTGCCAACGCGCTCTGGTGGTCTGTCGAATCTTCGTGCTTGGTGCTCCTCCGCGCTATCCACATGTGCCGTTCTGGGGGGTTTCCGGTGGAGCAAGCTCGACACAAGACTCGCTCATCTTCGCGGCGTGTTATCCAAACTGCGACTGGTGAGTGTCCTGTGTGTTCCCGTTGCCGCTACTGATTCGCACCGTCTTCATTTAGCCCCGCACCACTTCCTTGGGCAGGCATGGGCGGTTCACAAAGTGCGAAGTTAGACGCCCCTTTCCGCACCACTCCCAGCCCTGATCCACATCCCCTTTCGCCTCCCCTTCAGCTCTTCTTCAGCTTTCCAAACCCTCCCTGTTACCTGTCCACCACATGTCTACTGTCCTGAATCGCATCAACGACTTGTTCTTCCCAAAATTGACCACAATATCACCGAGAAACGAATACTTAAGCAAGGCGGACAACACTCACAATCCTCAACAACACGTTTGTCCCCCTCACCTTCAATGTCTGAACCCTCTACTCCCACTGCCAATCGTCTCGACAATATATTCGGCGCCATGCAGCAACTCACACTAGAATTCACCTTCAACCATGGCAGCAGCCTCGATACTAGCATGGACGAGCTGCAACCCCTCCCCGGTCTCGACCTTATTCCGCGCCAGAACGCGACCGAAGCCATCCAGCGCTTTTCGCTGCCTCGCGCCAGCTTCATTCGGACCAGATGGCCGAGTGTACCGCAACGCTTGTGGTATGTTCCATTTGCTAAATCTCTGTGATATACTTGAGCTAACACTGCCATAGGAATTGGAGACTGTTGTCCTCACCAAGATCTTGGTGGAGGTCATGGCGCTCAAGAACTTCGTTGGGAACATTATCGTCGCTACGCCGCCTTATGCCATGTCGGATGCTACTCGTGTATGCGCCGTCCCACATCTTGGACATTAGCTAACTACTTTCCCAGCACGGCCTCACGAAGTTTGGTCTCGCGGCACTTCTTTCGTCGCAACTCAGTGCTTATAAAGGCAAGACCCTGGTCAATATCATCTTGGTGCGAGTTTTTTTCTCTATTCCGCATTCATACTTTGCCTCACAGTGTTTAGAACATCCTCAAACATCATCGTTTCGACCTCCCTCCCGGTATCGAGAACAACCCAGCTGATTACGAGACCGTGAAGAAGGAAATTCAGGAAATCCTTACCTAGCTCCGCTCGAAGATCAAGAAGCAGGTATGTAACATGTGTGCATGCTTCCGTATCTAATACGTTGGATGTAGGTCGCCCTTTCGGTCCAGTACACCCGCACCGACGGTGCCTTCCGGTCCGGCCAACCAGCATGTCAATGTTTATGTACTTGCTGAGGAGCTCGTGGAAGGCACCAACTGTGTCGTCACCATCGAGCTCTGCGCCCGTGTCATGCTCATTGTAAGCCGCTGTACTCTCCCCTCGTCTTGTTTTCTGAGTCAGAGGGCAGCGCGATGTTTATATGCAGCATCACCGCCACACCAAATTCTGGAACAAGGTTGACGAGTACCTTGCGGCGATTCGTATACAAGCAAAGGGCGATACCCGCATGATTACCTGGTAAGCTGGAATCATCTATTTGTCTTCCTTCCCCGCCTTCTCATCTTTTTTCAGTGCTTTCCGCAACATTCTCGAGCATGACCGTGCAACTCATGGTGTCAATAATTACACCATCAGCGCGACCATCGGCGACGCTGTTCAGCAGCAAATTTCTAGTGTCATTGATGCGACCATCATGAACGCAGCCTCCTCCGCCAACGCCAACAACATAGACACCACTGGCTAGTACTAAATAGCTCTTGTACCATCGCAAAGCTGTAGATTTGCTTTCGAATACATATTCTACATCACATTTATATGATTTGTCTGTTTATCTAAGCATGACAGAATTCTCACCACCAGCTGGCATAACAGCGCTCGTACATCCCCTTGTCCAGGTTGCTACCAGCTGGACCTGGTCACAAGCTGGTGTCATTTGCGACCACCTCCAGTTTTCAGCTGGTAACCTCCTCAATGCCATCTGACGGCGACAGATGTCAAAGATGTCATGATCAGCCGCTGGCCGGGTGGAGATCCCGTTGCGGTGTATGAGTGCTGCGAGAACACCCTATTCACTGCTACTCTTGTGTGCGCGTCTGAGTATAAGGTGCGTACAGTATTTATAAATTCCTCCAGTAGTCCAAAGGCCCTGAGCACTCTTCACAGGTAGTTGTGTTTAATTTTGTCGTAGGCCTTCTCTTGGTCAAGGATTCACTTGGTCAGCCAGATCTGGTCATATATTTGGCGCCCGGGCACAAAACCAGCTTGCGCTGGGTGGATGATGTCTGAGTAGAGTAGATTTCGTCTTATACCCCAGTCTTCGAGTTCCATCATCTTTACGATATCCTTTCACGGTGCTTCTTGCTTGCCTTCACTGGCCAACTGGCATCCTCTGAATTGGTGTTGTTTGTGACATAATTCGAAGACTACCCTCCTACCCTTGTACCTTCCTACCTCCTACCTTCTACCACCTACCCAAACCACTCCCCTAGTAACCCCTACCCTGAAACTATCGCCAATTTTCCTTCCATCCCTTTCCCACGCCTCTTTCCTTCTGCTTTAGGTCGTCTGCTCTAGATCCTTTTGCTCTAGGTTTTTTCTTCTTGGCTAGGTACACTCGGAGACGACAATCTAAGGGACCCACTCGAGAGGACACGCGCTTCGTACTTGCAAGAGAGATGTCTGGCCCAACCCAGGTCCTTTCGTAGAGTCATAGCTGCTACAAGGAGCGCAGGGGCAATCTTCGGAGAACCCTAGTTCGTCCAGCGCGGGGTGTGTCGTAGAAGGCCCCGGTGGATTCCTCTCACACAACAGGTCTCTTGGACCCCCCGACAACGGACTCTCCGGTTGGATACTGGTATGTGACGTCGCAAAGGGGTCTTCTCACAAACTCTAATATGAGTGTATTGTGCTATAGATAATTACACCCTTAGGTAACTTGTGCTTATTTCAGCGCCAGAGTCACAATGTTACATAGTGACACCTAGTGTGACAGATGTCCAGAAAAGGAAATTTCTGCCATCTGATACTATAATCATCAGAAAATGTCACACATCGTCACACAACCAAAGTTGTATATTTTATCTATATGAACAACTTTTATTGAGTAACTGTTAAGTGCCATGTCGACCAAAGGACCAGAGACGGAGTCGGAGTCGGGAACGGAATTGAAGTCGGAGAGCACTTGGGGGCGGAACACCACAGAAGGATGTTTGGGTGACCGGGGCTTCCAGTTGACCAAGATAAGACAAGAAGACAAGAGCGGAGTCGAGATGACGCTGGGAGATAGAGACCAGCAACGTTAATTTACAAACTGAAGTATGTAGTAATACATCAAAGTATTTATAATATGAGAAGTAACGGAAACGGAATAAGGGATAACAAAGTAAGTAACGAGATTAGAACAAAGTCAAGTAAAGTAGAAGGGGAGTTGCATACGAGGAATAAGGCATAGATGATTGCATAGATCATAAGTCGGGGTCATTGGAAATGCTCAGTAAATCTTCATTGCATAAAAACCAAATACCGGAGTCGATATTGCAGACGGTGATGAGGGTTGATGACGGGTGGGGAGACCGGAGATGAGACCGACACTACACAACTAAAACCCAACAACAAAACAACAAATAGTCGTTCTGTCTGAGCGATAACCGTATAACACCAGCCATGACCACTGGAGGGTAGCGACAGGAGGGTCACTCGGAGACGTCCCCGGACGTCTCCAGAGAGGTGGAGGTGTGAGGGCGTGCAGCCTGGGGCGCTGCAGTAGGCACGAGCCTTAACGGCAGTAGGCCTCACCCAAAGGAAGACCCGATGACGGGGGCCGTGGTGGCGGAGTGGGGGGGCGGAGCCATGGCGGGGCTCAGCCATCCGAACGTAAGCCCGAACGCTGACATAGGTTGGGGACACCCAAGAGGTCCAACGGGTAGAGGTTGCAGGGAGACCTTGATGAGCGACAGCCCAGAGAGGCTATAAGGCCATAGGCTCAAGGTCTCAGAGGAAAGTGGTGCGGCCACATCCGGAGAGGTCTCCGATGGCATTAGTGATCCCTGATGGTGACTCCGGAGAGACTCCCAGAAAGGGGTGGCCATGGGAGTTAGAGGTTGGGGACCACTGGATGCGGGATGTGGTGGGAGAAGTGGAGGAGGAGCGTCAGGGTGCAGGAATACAGAGACTCGGGTGGAGACACGGAGACGCAAGTGGAGACGCGGAGACGTGAGCGGAGACGCGGCGCTTGATGGGATCAAGTGACGGCATCAGGGTTTCCCCTGACAACTACACAACTAAAACCCAACAACAAAACAACAAATAGTCGTTCTGCCTGAGCGATAACCGTATAACACCGTTCCAAACGTCCAACAACCACCAATAACCGTCTCCTAATACGAGTGCAGAACCCTGGGAACAGAGCCTGTACACGGGTATGCAAGGTTGTAGGGTAGATCGAATGAAATCTTGTTAAAGATTCGTTTTGTGGTTGTCCTTAAGCGTACTATCGACGAAATCCCGCAATAGGAAAGCGCCAATACGATGCCCAGAACCGTTTATACTCGTTTGGATCAGGAACTAACTCCCTTAAACCCAAGGAGTCGTCTCAAGTCAGGAACTAACTGCCTTAAACTCTCGACCGCTAACCAAAACCAAGTGTACGCCAACCGAAACTTCTTTTATATGGCAACCGGAACCCTCAACTCTTCGATCACAATGCCTTTTTACTTAGAATGAAAGAGCTAGCAGGATGATATTGACAAGCTAGATCCCCAGATGCACCTAGTAACGCGGGGCAATCCGTGAATCACTCAAATACAGGACAGAGATATAAATACTAAAACAGAAAATAATAAGATCAGGTAAATCGCCACAACAGAATGATGGTCCATGTGCATAATTTGTAAGGTATCGTTTCGCCATAAGGCCCAGAGTCGAAAATCCAGGTCTAGATGACCGGTAGCGCGTGTTTGGTGTCAATGACCTTTGTAAATCCTCCTTTATTGCGACCGTCTATGCGTTTTTGTGAACGGTCCGCTAACCATTGTGGTTATCGTCGTGTTGCTCCACTTCCTAGCTTTCCATCGATACCCATAACTTGAGGCTAACTGCCAGACACCGTTAGGTAATTCTCTTAACAAGATAATCGCAATCTATTGTCGAGTTGTTCGGTTGGACGGTTGCGGGTTAAGG